TGTATGTTGTGTATATATTAGGGTATTTCTATATATATACTGGAATTATACGAAGCATGTTAGTATTGTCATCATTTCATTATAATTTATTTTATTATTGTGTTGTTATATTTATTGTTATTATCATTATTAAAAACTCTTGACCCATTGAGCTAGAACTTATCAGCATACATTAGTTCTTGTTCCTCATATTCGACGAGTATGGTGATGTATGTATGTAGGTAGAAAGACGGAAGCGTGTGTGTGTGTGTGTGTGTGTGTGTTTCCCGCGCTAGCTAATTAAAATAGCGGGTGGGATTCTTAGGAAATTATTCTGAACTGCTTCTCAGTGTCTGAAAATAGACTCGGCCAAGATGGTGGGTGTGGAGGGAGGGAGGGGTGTAAAGTGCATCATTTCAAGGTCATGAATTAGCATATTAATGTAGGTGACTATAAACACATACACAAACAGGGCCGGACCCAGACCTCAGATCTGACCGATGCAGTCTATGGAATTTTTACACTCATTCCGCATCGTTGTAGTTTTAATATTTTACTTTATCCTCTTCGCCACTGATCTGCTTGTTAGCCGCTTGGACGGTCGGTCACGTCTGTTACACACAGTTGGCAAGTACTGGGCATGCACTGGCTCCTGAATGTATCGGAACCTGCTCCAGTGATGGTCAAGCCTGGTCTTGAAAGAGCTCACACACTCGGTGCCGTCACAACGCTCTAGCAGATTGTTTGAGGAGTTTGCAATTCTCACTCGGAAAAATTTGCCCTCACAATTTTCTGGACTTGTGGCTTCTTTAACCTTGAGCTGTGACCTCTAGTGGGGCGGGCGTCCGCCAGTTCCAGGTATGAACACTCGACTGAGTAGTGCCCTCTGAGGTGTTTTGTAAACTTCAATTAAGTCACCCCTTGCCCGCCTATAGTATAAGATAGGCAACTAAGGTGCCGTAGTACAGGCACCAGTCTGCTGACCCTCCTTTAGACATACAAATATCTCAGTTCTAGAGGATGTGGATGCACTGGACCAAGGTACAAGCCTGCCACGTTACAATTCAAACGGTCTAGAATTGAAGGAGCTTGACGCTTAAATTTTCATTATGTGCAACAAGAAAGAAAAGGAAAACAATATTTTCCATTTACGGTGAAGACATAAAAACATTCGTGGTTTCAAAATAAGAATTGTGGATAATGTTGAAACAAAACATAGACTACACGAGTTAAAAAAGTGTTGTGAATGAAAATATTTTAATCTGTAAAGTTCCCAACTTAGAAGTTTTAGTAAGGTTGGATAAGAAGGAAGTGGTTGTGGCAAGGAGCCGAGCTGTGCCCAGCTTGTTTACGTCTTGGGTTGTGTCAAGTAGCCGCCAGGGGGCCAGATGTTGGCGGGAACTTTTTACCGCCAACTCTGGACGCTCTTCTCATTACGGCTGAGCTCATGTTAGTTTTACCAACCAGTTTTACGACAACATCCATAACCTGGAGAATAAACAAGTGTTTGCCTCTCCTGGGCGATCACTTTATATATGTATACTCGTATATATTTTTCTCTCCGCGTGGACTAGAAACACTGGTTGTTGATGCCTCGCACACTTGTAGACCTTCTTAACCTGAGGGCGGCATAGCTCAAGACGCCATTGTTTTTATACACACACGGCAGCAGTACACATAGGAACATTTTTTATACAAATTAGCCCCAGCTCGGCGGTCGTTAGCAGTGAGGCGCCTAGAATTATTTGACCATTAAGTGCTTACTGCACCTCGTCTACACGTGCGCCCTAACATGATGGGCTTTGGGGCAGGAAGAGGCCAACCTACACCAGCTTCCAACGCCGGTTTTCCCGTATCTAGAGTACAGTTTAGAGAGTCGTAGTCACGGTGTGCTTTCTGGCGTGGTGGGCGTGTGGAGGACAAACGGGGGACAGTGCCATAGGCAATAACCTTACTTTAGGAGGACGATGTGGAAAGTGGGGGAGGGAGGAGGAAGGCACTTTAGAATGTTCAAAATTTCGGGAACTCCACCAACGAGAGAGGAACACAACCGGGGGAAACGATCACTGTTGTTCAATGATTCAACTGATCACGAAGTATTGTTATTATTATTATTATCATTATTAACATCTACTGACATCGTTAATGGTCACTCCTTTACAACTGTGTCAGAAAAAGGACATCAAACGGAGCGAAGTGTTTTTTGATGGCCCGCCTAGAAGTTTTTGGTATATATAGCAGTATTTGTGTCCGTCTGTCCGTGTCAAGTTTGGTTTCCACTGATAACTTAACGCAGACTTAATGACTTGATATCAGTATTGGCGCAAAAATGTATTACAACAGTCCTCTATATGACACTAGTCCTAAGTTTTAATTTGGACAACGAACAAATTTAAAATTTATGTGGCAACTTGACCACGAAGGAAGTTATGGAGAGTTAGACGATCTTGACAAAATGATGATGAACTGTGGGTGTTACGGTAGGCTGCGGGCAACACGACTCACTGGTCTGGCAGCAGCTCACCCGGGAAGCCTCTTCACGCACGTGGCTGGGGAAACCGAGCACCGAGGAGGAAAATAAGAAGTATTTCATCAGGGCTGTTATTTTGGGGGTTGCGTTAGTCAGCATAATATCCGTCTAGTTTGACTGAACGGCAATTTTTTCCATTGTGAGGGAAGATTTTTTTATCAGTTATTATTTACGCTGCTAAGCCTTCAACCAGTCCCTACTAACCCCCATGACAACAACAAAATATACTGTAATAACTTTCTTTTCTCTCCCTCTCAGTCTTTTTCCCTCCCTCTCTCTCACTCTTTCTCCTGCGGTATGTGGGCCAAGCACTTGATGATGTTGCCAACGTCGCTCAAGGGCGCTGAGGAGGCGACGCGGCGGCCTGGTGGGGGTAGGGTGGAGGTCCTGCTTGTAGTGTTCGGTAGGAGGGGTAGAAAGACGGTCTCGTATCGGGTAGATGAACTCGTGGCTGGTAGATGTGCGCAAAATCACTCGCCAAAATTTAACTGTCTGGACAAAAATTACCAGCACAATTTTGTTTTAGTTATTTTTTCTTTATAATTGTATTAGTTTAAATGATGATTAGTTTGGGTTAAGTTACGTTTGTTTTAATATAGATTGTATTGTGATAGATTAGGCTAAACTCATGGGATAAGATTATTTCTAGTATTAAGATAGGATCGGCTATGTTTAGGTAATCAATGCAAGGTTAGGATTAGCTGTGATAGGATGAGACGCAATTAGAAGTTGGATGGACTGTTCCCGGGTTAGAATAGGGCTATGTTTAGGTTACACAAGGCGTAGGATTGGCTAGGATAGGTTGGATGGGATATCTTCATACAACCGGTGTTTAGGATAGTATTTTGGGGGTAGTAGATGAGGAAGGATGTGGTACAGGATATGGTGTATGCTGAAGTGTGTATAGGAGGGGGGGGATTAAATACGGGGGCGTTACAAGGAATACCACAGTAGATCTTCGCTACCCAAGGCAGAAATCGCCAGAGGAGAACATCCGTCTGGCGTAAAAATAAAGCATTCTATAAGTGCGTCGTAAGGAGGAAACAAAACGACTGGACGCTAAATTGATCTCCCGCACTGTCGCTGTTATGCCTGGCGCTACGCTGTTTGAGAGATATGGATCATCCTACTTAGGGCCCCTCTCCCCTCCCTCCTCCCTCACCTGTCACTACACTCCGGAGGTTATTATCGCGGGAGGAAGTGAAGGATATTGAGGTGGTCAGTCGAGGTGTTGGTTTGCGCCGCTGATACACACACACACACACAGGAGAATCGGAAAGCTCATTATGGCTGTGTTTGTATTTATTGAATTTTTATATTTACAAGTATAATATACACAATTTGTACGTTTGATTATAGAACCTCTGCTTATTTTCACATTTGTCTAGACAATTGTTTAAATCTCGGGAGAATGTAAGTAAACGGATTAGGTTGGTTAGAAATTTTGTGTGTATACGTGTAAAGATGTTCTTAGGTGTCGTAATTCACACGTACACACACACCACACGCGCGTGCACTTAGTCTCGTCCACTAGAGACACTCCAAACAAAGAGGACGACGGACCATTTTTTTGCGTGCACCACCCAACCATCATCAGTAACACCGGCCATTAGTGAAGCCGTGTTCGCCTGGCTGGCTGACTCACCCTCGTTAGCTTGGCTCGTTGTCTCCACTCACCGACTCTTTCCTTACTGCTAGTCGCCTGAGACTCCTCCTGCTCATTGGCTGACGTTCCTGACAAGTGTCGGCTAAGTCTCGGCTCATACCCTGACGTTCCTCATAGTCGGCTGACATTTCGGTTCATTGGTTCGCTTTTGACGGCTCTTTCTACTATCTTGGGCTGACAGGCTTGGCCAGAATTGATGACTCTGCTCTGCTTATGTGATCAGGCTCAATAAACTCGGCTGGGCTCACGTAACTGGAATGTTGTACAGGATTATATGTTTTACTTATGTTATTGTTACTTATTGTTATCCTCTTACTTTTATTTTTATATACGTATTATTTTTATGGTTGCTTTTGTTTTTAATATTATTTACTTTTATTACGTGTTATTGCCATTTCATTCTTTTACGTTCTTTGTACTTTAATTAATAGCTCGTCTGCATCTTTTATTAATCATATAAATAACGGAAAAGAGCCAGTAGCATCAATAATACAGAACTTAGTATTTTTTCCACTCGCTGATGACAGTTATAAAGGCGAGAAATTTTAACGCCAGTTTTTGAACAGATATTTATAATTAATCTAATGTCCAGTGGGCGTAGCTTGATTAAAATGTACACTACAGGCTACGTGGGGGGAGATATATTGTGTAGAAAGATAGATTTGAGTCGTACATTACACATAGATACATACAGTGGGGCGATGCATATGTATAGATAAGATAGTCATACACATAGTATGGTGGTGGTAGTAGTAGTTATGTATAGTAGATTAGGCCTCATAACTTGTGAATGTTGCTTTAAACGTCCTTTTTATCTCCTTGCAGCTGGGTTGGCACCATACGCAGGCCTCTATTCTCTTCTGGCCGTCTCTGCCGCCGCCACCCCCGTCACCACCACCACCACCCCTACCAACCACGCCCCACCGCCCATGTCACCACCCGGCCCGCCCATCACCAAGCCCATGGCAGGAGTTGTGCCCACGCATGCCGTCCTCGCGCAGCTCCATGCGTTATGCGTCCAGCAGAAAGGTAGGCGTCCGTGCGTGCGTGAATCACATGGCGCCGTACTCGCTAGCTTGTCTGGTGGTTGGGGCGCCAAGTTTTGTCCTTATTGCCTGTACCTCTGCCATGTTACCAGAGCTTCTTACCATGTTGCCAGAGCCTTTACCTGGTTGCCAGATCCTCTACCATTTTTACAGAACCTCTTACCATGTTACTAGATAAAAGAAATTACATCTGACAAAAACAACGTCCAATAATGAATAATGGAGGTTTTTGTCTCGAGGAGAAAGATAAAGTGTGAATACTGACCAAAGAATTTATCATCCATAATATTGCATTGTATTTTATTTTGAAGTTCTATCAACAGTTTTTGTGTGAAATATTAATATTTCTAACGAATACAGTACAGTATTGGAAATGTAATATTTTTATTATTAATTTGTTCTCGGTACATGTTTTGTTTTTGTTGAGAAGGGAAAGTAATTTTGAGAAATGTAAATTTACACGTTTTGTTATTTTATTAACTTGTTCTGTCAGCATTTTGTTTGGTAGATGAAAAGATATTAAAAAAAATACTGTATAATTTTATTTATGAAGGAAGCACTGTAGCAGAACACATCTGTTACTATAGTAAGAGTGAATGACAGTGATTGAAGGGAGAGCGTGTGTGTTCTTGATTGCGGCCACCCAGCATTATAGCAGAAGGCTTCAAAGAGCGGCCAGAAATAACCCTGCGTATTTGTGGAGCATCACACACTAAGAGCAGACACGAACAACCTTGAGTCTGAAGCACTGGAGAGGACTGTCATTAGTGTTCTCCTACATGGAATCTAGGCATACGCTGAAACTTACAAAATAAATAAATATTTAAAAAATCCATCTTAAATATATCGTTTTACTTTTCACCACACACACATACTGTAGTATACTATTTTAGGGAATACAGTTACTTGTAATTAATATTTTTACATTAAATGACGTTATACACCTTATGGCTTCATAATTACAAGCCTGAGTATAAGTTAAGTTAAAACTTAATTATTTTAGTGGCATTTGCAGTCTGCACCACGTGGTCTGTGTAACTGAGCTTCTGTTGTAATGGAGGAACAAATGCAGGCTCACCTGAAGACAACTTCCCACCTTATTTCACCTTTAAGATTAATGTTAAACTCGCCTAATCTACCATACCATAACCTATCATAATAGTGTAATATTTAACCTAACCTAACCTCCCCCAGGTAGTTTAAGGATATATAACCATGCAGTAAAAAAAGCTGAGAGGCTAATCTTCTTCAGGTAATCTCAAATAAGTGTGACAGACGTACACTACACTCGGACAATAGGGCCGGGATTCTTAAAGGTCTGCCTGCACATTGTATATATATCTCCTGTGAGAGAAGATATAAGAATGCACTTAACTGGCTCACTTAAGCTAACAATAGGGTCAGAATTCTCAGAGCTTTGTATGTTGAATATTCTTTTTAAAGCAAAGATGCAAAAACCCACCTGAATACCTGTAGTTCATTTAAACTAAGGCACAAAAATAAACATAAGAGATACCAACAAAATGACGTGGAACCTCTACCTAAGGCACACACACATTTAGTTGACAGCAATAAGGTGACGGAATTTATATACAGAAACTGTGAACTTGGACATACTGTCATTAGACAAAGATGAATGATGGCATAAGATTGACTGTTTCACTAAGTAATGAAAATGGGATCATACTTCAAAATAAACTAAGCTGAAGTGAGCAGGAAATTAGAACTTTTGCGTTTATAATTGTTTTGCTCAAATGACTTTTTCAACTCATATAATACTGTAGCTCATAACTGATACTGGTACCTCAATACAATACAGTAATGAGTTTATTTGAAGCTATCAATATGGCTTTAGCTGTAGAAAATAAGGTACAACATCAAATCTATTTTCAGATATTTCCTGTATCTTGTAGGTACTGATGTAATGCAAATTGCATTATCATCCTTTGTGTATGAGCCAGTCCATCAGATGTCATCACCTCACACCACTTGTCTGTTGCCTTGTTTAGAGAACAACACTCACTCCTGCTGTAAAGGTTATGTGCAGTTATCAGATGTAGGAATCACCAAGACGCCACAAGTATTAATTTGTTGGATGATTTATGCAATGAAGCAGTGACTGTAGCTGTTATGCTCCTCTGTTTAGTTTAATTTAGTCATTACACCTTATTAAACATCTTTTTCAAATGAATTAAAAGCATAGTTATTCATATGAGAAACTGCCTAGGGAAAATACAACAAAATTCAGTTTATTTCATATACATAAAGTTACTCTATAACCTGTGTTTATTTTGTGGTACAATATGTTCCTGCAAATGTGAACTCAACACGTACAGTATTTAATGTCGGCGTGAATGTATTAAAAAGTTACTTTATGAATAGAGCATACCGGTATTTAGAAATGTCCACAATGCATACTATCATTACTGTATCAAGACTGAGAAGGTGATTACAATTATATTTTCCATTGTTGTCTTGGGTCAGTTGTCAAAGGTTGGTTATTCCTCACAACTAAATATGTAAAAATACTGTACTGTACACCTGACCTGTTGATTTAAGCTGAAGCGCACACAAAAAACATTAAGAGTTATTACAGTATTATCCTTCTATTTGATTCTATGTTGTAGTTTGATTTGAGATGTCATAAAAAAGTTTGTTGTTGCCAACTTGCTATCACATCTTAACCAGAATGTGAGTGTGAGCAGTGTACTTTGTGCAATACAGTACATACAGTACAGTATATTACTCCCATACAGCATTGTTGGAGAGTTAATCATGCAGTATTTAATCTATGCTACAGGAAAGTTAGTGCAGTATAGTACAGTAGTGTACTGTAGTCCCCAAACATAATATAGTGTGCCAGTTTATTTCTTCAGAATCTCCTAAAGCAGATTATATATCTCTGAATATCATTTTATTTTTATCTCCACAGATGGTGCATTAGCTGGTGCCCTCCCACCAATATTACCCAGTGGACAGCTGATGGCTTCCCCACTTATGGAGAGCACACCGAGAGCACCAGCTCCCCCTCCCAGCTGTAACAAGTCCATCCTCCCTATGCCAGCGACTGTGCCCGCCACCAAGTGTGCGAGTAGTGTCGACGGTGTAGCCGAGATGAGAGGTTCTGTTACAGATATGTATCGCCTGTCAATGAAGTCACCAGTCCCACTAAGTGAGGATGGCAAGATTTCGAAGGTCACAGTGGCCAGTTCTCGGACCACTCTAAAGCCTAGCAAAAGAGACATACTCCTGCCCACCTCAAAGGTTAATGGCCATGCCAATTTTTCAACTGAACAGGAGAGTGCTGTGACAATAAACCTTAGTGTTAATAGTGCCAAAGATGATGGGCAAGTTAGGAAAAAAGACATGAAGGAAGGTGGTGTTCGTAGTGGGAAAGGTGGATTTGTATATGACAGTAAAAACACACAAAGAACTTCAAATTATCAGCTCACTTGCCCAGTGAATACTAGTGAAGAAAAAGCAGCTTTTAAAGTCATAGATAGAACATCACCTCCCTCTTCAACTTCACCTGAATCTGAAACCTCTATTATTAATAATGTACCTGCAAAAGTAAAAGACACATATAGAACAAACCAGAGCCAAGAATCTTCAGTCTCACAGAAGTCTTGTGAGCCCAGCCATCTCAACACCCTCGTTGCCATCTCTAAGTTGTCTCAAGAGTCTAGTCACTTTGAGGCATCAGTCCCATCTTCTAAACTATTCTTAGAAGTACAGAAAGTCCAGACATCAGCTACAGTTCCACATCAGTTCCAGAAATCCAGTTGCCTTGAAATTTCAGCACAACACTCCCAGTTGCCTCATAAATCCTATGATGGTCTCGAGGATAAACAAAGTCATAATGAGAAGTATATCCAGAGAGTGAGCAGTAGGGATGATTCACTGGATTTTACTGACAAGAACAACCTGAACCCAGATAAACACTATACAAGTATGTACCCAAATGGACTTGTTAGTGAACCTGTTTGCAATGTTTAAGTATACTCATGTAATTCACTGTGCTATGCTAATGACCTTTTGGTATTTCCTGAGCCACCTTTCTACATAATATTATTTTTTAATAGTAATGATGAAAATTAATGTATTTAATGGTTTCATAAAGAACTGCCTATAAGCATTAATATGAAGTTGAGTAAATAAATGTTAAGTTTACATAGTTGATACAATTAAACATTAAGAAATGAAGGAAACAAATTTTGTCATGTAGCAAGGTCAAGGACATAGTTAGTCTTTGCACTACCTACCTACCTACCTACCTACCTACCTACCTACCTACCTACCTACCTACCTACCTACCTACCTACCACCTCTGCCTCTTGACCTCCTCCGTACAGCATCACTCTCCTGGTCCATATCACTTGTGTCTACTCCATTTGCCATCCTACTTTTTTAATTCATCCTCTCCATATGTACAGGGTGGGTGAAAAGTAACTGACCTATTTATATTTCATAAACTGAATAACAATGTGGTAGTTACTTTTTGCCTGTCTTTGTAGGAAACTCCATTCTCTATTTTGTCAACCATCTCCTCTTATTAAATTGAATGTTCCTCTTACATATGTATTTCTGAGCTCATGCACTCTATTAAGACTTCACTCAAACTTCAGCATATCACTCCCTGTAATAGTGTAATGTAGTACAGTAATGTATTTTATTTGCCAGTAAACCATGCATTCATGTTTGCTGAGCCAAGTTTTATCAGAATACTCTATGTATATCTGTACTCATAAAGTTTACTATTATGACTTAGCTCACACTGTGTAAGATTAAGTCTAAAATTTCAAATTTTCCCTGACAGTTTTGGCATATCCACCAGAATCATTAGAATAGTTGAGAATTCAGATTTTCCCAGGGGAACATGCCCCAGGACTTCCCCTAAGATGGGAGGGAAGGTTTCTTTCCTTTCCCCTATTTTTCCCCTTTTTCATTTACATTGTTTTTAGCTACACTTGGGCAACTACTGTACTTAGACATTTTTTAAGTTTCATCTTGTGTGTCAGCATCACAACTTCTCTATGTTCAAGGCTCTCATTCTACCAGTGTGAAAGTCCAGTGTTGACACTCAAGTTTCTCTGTTATTCAGTGTCTCATCATAGTACTGTGTGCTCAGAAGCCATTAATAGGTTTACCACAAGTACTGTAGTGTTGCATTACATATTTATCGTTTGGATGTTCATCAGGATACGTGTTATTGAGAATGTTCGAGACACCTTAATTGTTTTTGTATGAATGTGTTGTGTTCTTACTACTGTACAGTAATATACTTTTTTCTGTTTTGTTTGATGTGCATTTTTATTATTTAAGTTTTTTCGAGTCATTGATTTTACTTTCATCTCTGCATTTCCATAGATGGTACAGAAGGAGCGAGAACAGGAGGTAGTGTAGGTGAGAATGAAAGACTAAAATCACCAAGTGATGGCAGTGAAGAAGGGAAAAGAAACCCATTAGCTCCACTGGTGGGTGATCAGTGTTCACGTACCACTCCTGGCCTACTGCAGGCATATGCTCAGGAACGCCGAACAAGACCTCACACCTCACCCTTAATTTTACCTTCCAATATGCTTTCACCTACACCTTCCTTGTCACCTACTAACACACCAATCTCAGTAGGTGATGCAACACCAAGCTCATGCCCACCAATTGTGGCATTAACACAATTGGCTGTGCCCCGTGTGGCTCCCCCTGCCACTGCTGCTGCTGGCGATTCGACACGAACGTCTCGTAAAACAGTCCGCAATGAAGAACGACCTACTCCTACGATGACAGGTGACAAGACGTGCACTTTAAAGTATTGTTCAAATAATTTGTATATGTTGTAAATATTGTACAGGATTGTACTGTTTTTGTTCTGCTCCCCCTCTTCTAATGCTACAGTATGTTCATCTTGTAGCTGGAGGTGGTATCCCAGTTGGCATCGCAGTTGCCCGTCAACGTCAGGAGTCACGACCACAGGACGACCCCCTGGGAGGATCAATGCCACCTGGGGGCAGCTCTCCTGGGGGAAACAATCTGCCTACCCACTGGCCTCTTCCTCCAACACCCTGTAATCCAGGACTCCCAACAGCACCATTTTGGTTGACTCAAAGTCAGTTTTCTGGTAGGTGAAATTATTAACTTCGATGCAACATTTTATATAGAATAATTAAACTGCACTTTAATATATCTTATTCCCTTTCCATCCACATTTCGTGGTTCAAATATAAAACTTCTTTTGGTAAGCAAATGGGGGGGGGGACACACTTACTTAAGAGAAACTTTTAACATGAAGTGGGGAATCAGACCCATATTACAAGAAAAACTGTCAAGGAAGCAACATTGTGTGTGAGGTGGAGAGCATTGCAATGAGTGAAGAGGATTTTCTGTTAATGATCATAGCTGCCTGTGTGAAGCAGAACATTCCTTTACAACAGTAAGAATGAGTGTGGAGAAAAAAATGTTTATATTTCTTCTTGTTTCTGGTCCTCGTGTGTTGAGCAGGAGAAACTTAAATGAAAGAAAACTCTGGGAATTGTGAGGTAGATAATGACCAAATATGGAATGTGTACAGTACAGTATAAGGATTAGGTTAATGGTTATATCTCATAATCTAATGGTCAAATACTGGCATGTCCTTCACAAACATTAGTCTTTATTTCTTTCACTCCTCCATTTTCAAACTTCAGTATCTTTGAGAAAAATTACATTCTTAGGGTACATGAATGTCATATGTATTGTGGTCTTCTTTGGAGTCTGTGACATTTATCCCTGCAATGAGGGGTGAGGTGAGGTGATGTAGTATCTTTTCTAACACTTCATTAAGCTCTATATAGTGTTTCTTGTTTTATATGACATCAGTAAGGGGACCAGATACGCTCTCTTGCATTCATAAACCACTTGATTAGTCAGACTGTAAATATACTCACTAGCCCTTATGATTCACACCTGCACTGGCTTTGATTACAGGTTAGTTGTGTGCAGTGAATATTTACCTGTGATTATGCATACATAACATTATCTCTCGGTTATACAGTATATTATCACTTTGCCAGTATTTTCTTCTAGTTTTAGTTACTAGATGGATGCAGAGTGTTTAATCATTAATGGTAAAATGGCAACTAGTAGAATGTGGTAGATAATGCTTATAATTAATTGTCTTTAGTATTATATAAGGGTTTTTTTTGTATATGGTTATATGAGATTACCTTACTTGTATTATGAAACTGTTACTGCATAGCTTCTCTCACTTGCTTCTACTTGCAGTGATAGGAATGACACACCCTGATATCATACCGAGTAATTTTAGATGCTAACGAAGAAGTCAGAAATTATATAATGGATGCATCACTATTTATTATAATTTTCCACTCTTATTTCCAAGTTCCTTTCCCACTGTGGCACAAAACAGTCATTATCAATAGCAGCACAGTCTCTCCTCTCCTGTTATTCATCCTCTTGATTACCTCTATGGGTTTGTGTTCCTGTTCCACATCCTCAACAAAGCCTCAATATGTTCATGTGGTTCACTTATCTGTTGTTCCACTTTACATATAACATCTTCTCTTTTGAACTACACAATGCTATTAATGGCTTATGCCTTAATTAATTGTGAATTTCATGTTAGGGTCAGCCTCAGAAGGGATGGGTAATAATCTGTGATGAACTGGCAGGTGTGGGAGTGGACGCGGGTGTAGGAGCAGGAATGGGTTTAGGCTACCAGTTCGCTCGGGACCCCCTGAGTGGCCACTACTATCTCCTGCCACACCCGCACGCAATACCAGGTTTGTGTTTCAAGAAAGAAGCGCACTATGTTTTAACTTTTTTTCACTAATTTTGTTTAACAGATGTATTTCACGGTGCTCACACTGTTTTTAATTTGTTTTGATTTAGAAATTCCAAAGTTTTTATTATTGAGTGTTGTGTGAATACTTTATTTACTACTGGTAGCATCATATTTGATAATGTTAAAGAAAAAATTGCCCCCAAACTGCTCAGCCTTCATAACTGTATTGTAAAGTTTATAGTTTTTATATATTTCTTTTCTTTTACAGATCCTGGTAGTCACAGTCTGGTATGGGCGGGATATGGAGGTGTAGCAGCTGCTTCCCCTGTGGTTATACCACCTCAGCAGCTGCTGCTTCCTGATGCTCATTACCATCGTGCACTCCATGCTCACACCGCTCTGCTCCACGTCCCACACGCCCACACACCCGTCCATGCCTCAACACCTCCCTCCATCAAGCGAGAGGACCCACTGACTCCAGGAGCGCCTGAGGAAGATCCCAAGAGCCGTCCAGTTAGTGTGCCGCCCTCGGGCCAAGGGGCTGCACCACCTGGAAGTGAAATGACCCTACCTTCAGCTCTGTCTACTGGCCTGCGTCATCTTCCTCCATCATTCTTATATCCTCCAAGATCCTCTTTACCATACTACTGTCGACAGTCTCCCCACTCCACACCATATTCACTCCCTCCTTTTTCACATCAGCCGACTACAAGTATTGGCTCCAGCCTCACATCAACTCGAGCTGCTTCTTTAACCACAACCTTGACAAACACCCTAACCACACCTGCTGACATCACAACAACTTTTTCAGTCCTACCTACAGCTCCTGTTACTAGTGTGGCAAAGGGTATTGGTTTAGAGCATTATTCAACCCGGGGATGTGAAGCTTTAGTAGCCACAGGTTCACCCACACCTCAGTCAGAATCCAGCGAACCAATCAATGTTACATCCCACTCAGAAGAAGAACCTGACTCAGAGCTCCCACTACCACGACCTCACCCTCAAATGGATCTCCAATGTTTACCAGTACCCTTCAAAATCAAGCAAGAAATTAAGGAAGAGGTCCCATCCCCAGTAGGACCCAACAGAGATGACAGTTGTACCCCTGGTGCTGGTGAGACACCAGTTGAAGCGCAGCTCTCTCAAAACCACATCTTGGCAGTAAAACGTGAAGCATTTGTTAACTGTTCAAATAATCAAGTCACAGTAGCAAATAATTCTCCTTCCTCAGTGTATCTGTGTCAGAGTAGCCAGTCCTCTATTGAATCTTTACCACTTTCCTACCCAGTAATCTCATCCAAAGGAAGTACACCTGTAACTTATCAGAGTAGCCCAAACACTACTGTATCTTCTGATAAATATGCAGATGCAAACTCCCATGAATCCCAGACTACATCACATGATGAGCCATCTGCAACAATCAACTCAGAATCTCCTTCAAATAATTACTCAAAATGTTCAAGTCTCATTATGTCTGAATCTGTTTCTGTTACTAGTTGTTCTGAAACTGTCACTACTAAATACTGCTCGGGAACTTCAGTAATCACTTGCACAAATCCTTCATCTTTTAGTTGTCCAAACTCTTCCACGACAGGTTGTAGTGGATCATCACCAATTGATTATTCTATTTCTATGAAGAAAAATTGCTCCGATTCCTCAACACCCAGTTGCCCAGACTTTGGCTGCTCAGAGGAAACTGCAGCTAACTGCTCAGAATCTTCATCTACTACCTGCTGTGGAACTCCTGTTAAAAGCTACCCAGAACCTATGGCAACTAATTACTCAGAATCTCCAACGAGTGGTTGCTCTGAATGTAACACAACTGTTTGCTCTGAAGCCCAAAGAGCGAGTGTTTCTGAACATTATTATTTGAATTCTGCCAAATCCCCAGTTTCCCTTACTCCAGAACCACAACCTATCACAAATAATCCTGACACTTCACCTGCAAGCTATTCTACTCTTCCTCCTGCACCATGTGATGAGGTAGAGCCCCAAGGTACAGTCCACCCAGAATCTAGTACTGTATCATACCAAGATCAGCACACTGAAAATTTTCATACATCATGCACATCTTATAATGATGACGAGAATTCCACCCAAGTTGTTGCAAGTCCATCATACATGGACCTTAGTGGCCTGGAACTCTTATCACAAAGTGTACTGCAACATGCCAATCGATTATCAGACCCATCAGAGGAGGAAGCTGCTGCAGATGAATGTTCATCTTCATTACAAGAGGACACTCCTGCAGATGAATATGCTTCTTCACTACATGAGGATACACAGGTAGAAAAATGCTCTTCTTCCTTTCAAGATGATTTAGATGCAGATGAGTATTTTTCTTCACAAGATGAAGATTGTGTAGATGAATGCTCCTCTTCACTACAAGAAGGGGTTGCAGATGAATACTCATCTTCATTGCAGGAGGAAATACCTGCAGAAGAATATCCATTGTCTCAGCAAGAGGAAACATCTACAAATCTGAGCTCTTCAATGCAAGATGGAGCATCAGCAGATGCTTACTCAACCTCACATGACAAAACCTGTGCAAGTGAAAGTTCCTTCATGTTGCAAGAGGCTCTTCCTACAGATGAATCTGATGAGGAATATGAGAGTAGTACAGAAAGAGGGAATAAGGTGTGTTCCAATGAGTACAAGGTATCTTCAGGAGTAGATGAAACATATACAAGAGGGAAAATGTTTTTAGGTGAGGGAGAATTGCATTTAAAGGTGAGGGATGGAATGTCAGAATTGGTTGAAGCCTGTTCAACAGAATTGCCTTGCCAATTTCCTTCTGAAAACACCCCACCACATTACACCACCCCTCCTATTGCTTCACCTTTGCCCGATTCACTTAGTGGCCTTCATGGCCTCAGCCTTCTTTGTGCCTTAGCTGAGCAGCGCATCCTGGAGGAGGAGCACGTGACCTGCCCAGCCCTGTCGTCCCTGGCTGATGTGGCAGCCACATCCCCAAGTGTTCCCACATTCCCACCAGAATACACTGAATCACCACAACCAGGCCCAAGTTGTCTGACAAGTTCACCCAGAAGAACCTTCGGGTGTGGAACTACCACAGCTATATTTGGTGCCACAACATTCGGAACAATTGCTAATTCTTTCAGCACTCCAGTGAAGACCACAGATGTTAATAGGAATTATAAGAGTCCACAATCTGAGCGTGAAGCAAAGGCATTTATTGCTAACAAAGCATCTCAATACCAAAAGGAAACTGCTGCTGGCTTTAAGATACCATCTGGTTTTCCTGTTGACTCTATGGATCCAGCCGAGCTTGACATGCGTATGCAACTGGCCGAACTGCAGAGAAAATACCGGGAAAAGCAGCGTGAATTGTCTCGTCTACAACCTAAAAAGATTACAATGAGTCCAGCGAAGAGAGGCCCAGGCCGACCCCCCAAAAGAAAAATACACAACGACTGTACACCCGGTAAGAGAAAAGTTGGTCGACCTCCTAACAAGAAAAAGAAATCACCACAGAAGGAACTGTCACCGCCAGTACTTGAGAGAGTTACTGATCTCCAGATTAAAATCACCATGAAAGACAGTGATGAAGAAAAAGAGGAACCAAGATGTATGAACAAAACCATTTTGAAGCCCCCAGTCCTCACCGCTACATTCTCGACTCATTTAATTCATAATGGAAACCAGGATCTCATGCCTAAAACACCTGAAACACAGATATCTACAGAGAAGGAAGACTCAGGAGACGATGACACAGATAAAGACAAAACCAGACGATGGTCCCTTTCATCAGAAGATACAGCTCCACCAATCTTAACCTCCCCTTTCAAGTTACCAGCAATAGCAAGTGAAACCAGACAAGAAGAAAGTGAAGAAGAACAACCAAAATACAGCATCAGTGATTCAGCTTGTAAGGAGCTCAAAGTTCTTCAAACAGAAACATCAGTTGAGTCGTCACCATCAGACTTGGAACAGCAGCCCCAGTCCTCCTCCTCCTCCAAGAAACGCAAGCCAGGTCGCCCAAAGAAACACTCACCAACAAAAGAGGATGCAACTGAAACTATAGTGGCCAAAAAACCCAAGACTATGATAAGCTTCCACCTTCGCCGCCCTTTACTTTCCCACAAACCAAAAATGCGGCCAAAGCTAAAAGCTGAACTCAAGGTGAATCATTGGGATTTTAGTTACAAATTTGTGCTTGTGATAGTATATATGTAGTACTTTACTAAGCACTATTTTATCAGGAATCTCGGTCTTTTGTCAAGAAGTTAGAATTTTAAGATAAAATAGGTGTAAGGGGTTGGATTTGTTCTTAAAGTGAGCTCATCTCCTCCCTAGTTACTCCTTCACTGTTGTAATGAGTGCCTCCACATTTATTTACTCCAAGATTTATAAAAATATTAATCACAAAGCAACATTTTTACATGAAATAAGAATATTGTAGGCAGTTTGCATGACAGCAGTTGGTTAAATATTGATAAATTGTATACAGTATTTTGCCGGCTGTTACACATAACTCACAGTTGTGTTTTCCGTGTATCAGATACGAGAGGTTGGGCAGGACGATGAGGACTCGTCACCTCACTCTCACTACAAGTTGTCCTCTAACACAGAGACCACAAAGGAGGCATCTGAAGATGAGGATGATCAGAGTTCTGTAAGTAATGGCTTTTATACTTTGTTTTCTACCAACTGAAAATATTTAGGGATATAAATTATATAATCATGGTGCTGTCAGTTCACCCACGCATCTTCAGACTAATGGTTTGCAAAATAAATTAAATTCTGAAGGATACATTCAACCAAATTTCATATATAAGTTCTTTATTCAGTCAGTGAATCCTATGAGTTTTGGTCTCAGGTGAAGAGTGAAGTTGTTTATTATTTTGTTATTTTATAAGTTAATTTAGAACTGTGGTTAATGCAGTATTAGAAGTGTATTGTCTTGAGCAATGGCATAGATTTATTGTGAATGAAGGGAGGACAACTTCCGAGACTTGTAAATGAAGTACTGAAATGTATATATTTTTATGAATATCAATACAGTATACAGTATTATGTAACTATAAAACTAGATACAGTATCTTCAGGCATGTTTATTAGACTATGAAAAGAAGCTACAAAAGTATAAAGGCATTTATTCAATTTTTTTGCAAATGTAGTACAATACAAAAAAATCATTCTGGTAAGCCAAGGTAAAAGGACAAAACTGTAAATTTTCCTTAACCCTCAATCCACACATTTTTTAAGTACAAGCTTGACGTTACTCTACATTGCTCTTATTTCATCACTAAAATACTTAATTACCAGGATAAACAGCCACCAATTACTTTTGTGTTTAAAACTTAACATTTTTTATATAAAACACAAACTTACTAATGGCTGTTAAATATAGCATTGGCCACATTGCTTAGTCTACAGTATGCTGTATCTTCACTATATCCACCCAAAACTGGGCATCAGGCCTATGGGATCCACATTCACTTTCATATTTTTTAAGTGAACATCAGGCTGTGATTTTATACAATCTATCATATTTTGTAATTTAGAACATAACAAGATTCTACATGACCTGCAAATATAACACAAATTTAAGCCTTTAATAATCACGGTATTTGTGTTCTTCAGACAATGTGTGTGAGTAATGCCGATGCCATGCGAGGTGCAAGGAAAAGAGGATGTCCCCGTGGTCGTACGTCCCTCACCAGGAGAGCCATGTTGAGAGATAAAGAAAAACGCAAGTCTGCTGCAGAAAAACAGTTACACATGGAAGCTCTGTACAGGTGAGCAACACTAGTGTGAACTGGACTATTGGGTCTGTACATATCTTTCACCTGTTTTTCTTGTCGCTGTAGTCTTCTGTTAGGCTTAAGGCTCTTAAATACAGTATGTAGATTTGCTTTATGCATTGTAGTGTGTCCGTACTGTACCACTTGCTTGAATTTAAGCTGACTTACTGTACTGGTCACTGGTATTTAAGAAAGGTTTTCTTAAACTAGATCCTTAAAGAAGCACTCCACCATGGCTGCTGCCGAGCACGATGAATCAGAGGAGGAGAGAGACCGTGAAGACAAAGAAGAAACCCAAGATGTGGGAGGTGATTCTTCTGGCAGCGACCATGAGACTAGTCAGCAACCTGTGTCTGGTGACACGGCCCCAGTGTCCTCAACATCTGCAGGTGCAACAAGCTCTTCCACAACCATGACCACTACCACCACCATGGCTACCACGACAGCTACCACTACCACTACCTCTGTAACCACCACCACTACCACCACCACCACCTCCACCACAAATGAAGCTCCAAGACCCACTATGCAGACACCAGGTGAGAATGTGTACTGGACATTAGTATTTCTAATGTAAATTACAGTACAGTGTACATTTATTGTAATGTCAATACACTACAAGGGCTTCATAATCTGATCATTAATATACATTATGTGTAATGCTGGTTTCACTCCCATGTTATGTGACACAGATGAGTACCAACTTTCTCTCCATGTTATCTCTAACAGAGCCAAGTGTATGTGTTATTGAGGTGGGTGATCTGGTGGATAAGGCCCGTGTATTGGTGCTACAAGATGGATTGCTGTACGCGGGACACGTGGTACCCATTACACCTCCAGACGTGTATGGCGTTGTTATAGATGGTGAGCGTGGGTCACGTCGACACATATACTGCAGAGAAGAACTACTAGAACAGTCGGTAAGCATCTCAGTGTGATGATGGTTCAGGTTTTACCCCCATCATGGTCTAATTGTACACATGAATGAGAGTGTTCTGATGAACACCTTTAGATCACCTGAGGAGATATATGCAGGATGGGGAAAAAAAGTAGAACATAATTATTGACAAGTAATTTTTTATTTTATTTTTTCCTCCAGTGGAAAGAAGTAAAACCTGGTACCACAAGATTTCTGGCGGAAGGGACCCGAGTATGTGCCTTTTGGTCGCAGCAATATCGAGCACTTTATCCAGGTGGGTAATGATTTATTTTATTCCCAGGTATGTTTCAGGAATAACTTGGAATTGTTTGTGCTGCTGTTTTTGTGGTCTCTCTTTTATGTAAAAAAAAATGATTGTGTCAACATCGTAGCTAAGAATTGATGTCATCCATTGAAAACTTTTCTTAATAAGAAGAGTACAAGATGAGAACCTTTATAAACAATTCTCCACAGGTTCAATAGCTGCCTCTACCTCCCCAGCACATGAAGCCAATCATAACTTTGTTAATGTAGAGTTTGATGATGGTGATGCTGGTAAGATCCATGTGGATGATATTCGTCTTCTACCTCCAGAATTTCCAATTCTTGGTAAGTTTATAGAAAGAATCCTATTTATTTACCATATTATTTTTTAAGGGGTACAGTATTATACTGTATAGGAATTTTCACATGAAAATGAATTATTGTGTGTGTGTTTGTGTTTAATATTAGGGTCTACACTAAGCTTATAGTGTAAGCTGAAATAAAAGAAGGATTATTTAAGTACATAAGAAAGAACATAAGAAAGTGGGATACTGCAGGAGGCCGACTGGCCCATACAGGGCAGATCCCTAAAGTAATTTGGGAATATGAAAATGGATTATTACACAAGTGTGGAAAAAGGTCATAAGACCGTTGCGACGACGACGATGATGATTAAGAAAAATAATGATTATTGATGGTGAGCTGGGAATGTTATGTGAAGTCTCCTACACTGTTAACCTTCCTCCTACAATAAGGACAATGTTAGTTTGACAGAATGAGGGTCGACGACTGTGTAAAGGAACACCAGGCATCAGGGTGTGGGTCTATACTGGGGGCAGATTGTTATCAGAAAATGACAATAAATGGGTGTACAAATAGTTGATTGCTGAGAATTTAAAACCTAAAAAAGGCTTACTTCAGGTAACCTCACTCCCCCCTCCATTTGCAAAAACAAAATGGTATGGGTAGTTATAGATACAAGAACTGTATTGTACAGTACTATTAATATTCCTCAACAAGGATATAAGATAAAGTGTGTTGGTGTCACAGCCTACGGCGGGAGTGTGACCCAGCCAATGCTTCCTAATATTTTCTACATTATTTTAATGTTGTCTTTAGAAGGTCTGACATAAAATAATGTATCCAGTGGTACAGTATCTTTAATATTTTCTGTCTGGTGAAAGAGAGAAGAGAAGACAGTAGAAGTATGGGGTGAGGCATCAAGTGGGTTTTAGGAATGGCTGTGTTGGTGGGGTGTTGTATGACATGACATCCAGACACCAGATGAATATCTAAGAACCTTGTTATAAAAGTGGAGCACCACAGCAGAGCACATTTAGTCCACCACTTGGAGAGATTGAATGACAGCAGTTAAATGAGTCTGTGGGGCTCATGATTCTGGCCACCCTGTGCTGTAATGGCAAAGGTCTTACTTGAGCAAAGAGAAGTAAATATGTAAGTCTTAATACAGTATTTTATTCCTTTCAGAACATGACCCAAATCCACTGATGAGTCTGAACAAGAGAAAGCGTCGACCAACAGGAGAGAGTCTCCCAGACGTGAAAGAAGAAGCTCCAAAATCAAGAGGGAAGAAAACCAGGACACTCTCGGGCAATAATAATGATAACGAAAAAGATTCAGAGAATCAGATACAAGTAGATGAAAATAACGAGGTGGAGAAGGAAAACAAGAAGAGTTCTGTAAATATAAAAGACAAGAAGAAAGACAGTGAAGAAAATGGCAATAAGAAGGTAAACAGAAAAACGGACAAAAAGAAACACAAAAAACATAAGCACACTGAATCATCACCTCATCATCGCCATAAACACAAAGCTAAACACAAACACAGACATCGGGAGGGTGATAGGCCTCTACCACATGTAGAACCTGGGGTGAACGAACTTACTGTGAGGATCAAATCTCCTCCGCCTCCCCTTGGGGAGACCTGGAGACCCTCATACCGTGAAAAATCAGAATCAGAATTGGATAGTTCCTCATCAAAGAGCCCATCAGAGGATGAATCTGAGGATAGTGATTCTGAGTACACACCTTCTAAAAAGGAAGTGGTAAGTAGCATCTAACTACATAGAGTATATATATCACTCAGTTGAGTAAAAGCAATTAAAGTGGGCTTTAGTACTAACACTTTTATTTTATTTTTACCAAAACTGTATTTAGAATTTTTTACAAAACTCTCTCCGCAACACAGCAGTTACTTCACATCACGCATTTTACCCATATTCGCATACATTACTTTAACAGACTGTATATTTATCTAACCTTTAGTTTACTCTGTACACACTTATACACAACTTTATGTTTACTTTGCCATTTTTATGCATTTATCTTTTCTTAATTCTTAATGCTTGTTCCTTTACTTTTTTCAGTAAGAAAATTTCTAGTAGCACTTCTTTCTGTAATGCCTCTTTTCTTAGTGTTTTATTTATCCTTAGTTGAAAGAGGGTAGTGGATAAGGACAATAGTTTGGAGTAGACTTATATCTCTACTATAGAGTAACAAGAGTGATCAAGAATTTTTTATAAATTTTAAAATGTTCAAGTCTTTCAATCAGATTGGTATATAGTACAGTGTTTATAGGGCAGTATGAGGTAGTCACCCACAAATGTACTGTCGCCTCTTCTTCTGAACCACGAACCCCGAGATTCAGATTCATGAATCCAAAGCATTTATGGACAGAATAATGCATCATTGTCTACTGCTTCGGGTTCACGAGTCGGAATCACGGGGTTTATGGAGCAGCAGGAGAGGCGACAGGACCAATGTTGGTGACTGTACCTAAAATTATATGCTGAAAGCAAACATCCTCTGTAGCATCCCCCCAACAGTGTAAAAGGATAACAAGCCCCGAGTGAGAAAGGTTTGATTAGTTTTAGGTTTTGACATTACAGGAGTAACTAGCTCTCCCATGACAATAACAGTGAGTCTGCCAAACCTGCTCAGCCTGGAATAAAGTTAGAATATAATAAGAGAAAAATTTTATGTGCAGGTGATAATATTTGATGCAAATTAATAATTTAGCAAATATATGTGAAGATTTTAGATGTACAGTATGTGTATCCTTGAAATAGGAGGGATAAATGACAGTGGAGATTGAATTTAGTTTGTGGAGAGGTGATACAGCATACCTGTGTAGTGTTAAGAATTGGTGCTGGCAGATAAGTGTATAGTTGATTAGAGTTTATGTAAGAGACTCACTGCTGACCATTACATTACTCTCAGGGACTCTAGGATAAGTAGCTTTAGGATGTAGGATAAGGTTGTGGGGTGATTGAAGAACCAGGAAGCTTCATCAGTGCTTGTTTACTATGTTCATGATGGAAATTAAGAAAAATGCTGAAATGGGGAATAAAAAGCATTGTTGAATAGAATGACAATACTTCAGGTGTTACTTCTCTTTAAATTTTGAGAGGCAGTGAAGAATCCCCCTAAAGGTTTTTTTTAGTTTATTGCCATAAAGCTACATTTACCTCATTATTATTAGGAAGATTAGAATGTAATGAACAACATAGACATATTTGATATTACAATTTTTTTGGTCCAGACGAAGAGTCCTGCGAGACGGAAGAAGAGACACCCATCAGGGAAATCAAAGATCGCACCTTTCTTACCTGAGCGTCAGTTGTGGCGGTGGTTTGGTAAAGGCTTTAAAAGACCTGGAGCAAAGGGCAAAGGCAAGAAGGAGTACTTCAAGGCAATTGTGAGAGGAAAAGAGATGATAAGGGTAAGTGTTAATGTATTTTGCCATTACAGTACAGTAAAGTACTCTCATGGCCTGCTGCAAAAGCCATTTAATGCAAACCATGAAAGCACAGCGTTTGTCATGATGGTAAGCAATTCATTGAAGGATTTATAATTAAGCTCAGAAGATCAACTGTACTGTATAAGTTGAGTTTATACCTGGATATTATAAATTTTTATTTTTATTTTGGGGGATTGCCTATTACAGTATATGTGTTTCATTAACAGGTTGAAGACTGTGCTGTGTTTCTGTCTGCTGGCCAGCCCGACCAACCATACATCGGTCGGATTGAACACATGTGGGAGTCTTGGGGAGGAAATATGGTGGTGAAAGTAAAGTGGTTCTACCATCCGCAGGAGACGAAGGGGTTAGGACGCAGACTAACTGAACCAAGGGTATGTTAGTGTTTAGTGTTATGATCTAGAGATGGGGGAAGGCAGTCCTAAAAAAGAATGCTACAATTTGACATTCTTTACACTGAGTTACAATTAGGTATTAATTTTTCTTGGGCCATTGAAAATTTATGCTGTAGTGTAATGCCTTTGAGAATTGTGTCATTATGGGAAAACTGGAAAACACTGCTTCCTTTATCTTAGAGCTATTAAACATGATTTGTATCTTTTTATAATTTGTTGTAGGAAATGACTTTAGAGTTGTTGCTTATTTTATGCCGTAGAAAATGTGTTTCTTACTTTTTCGATGGTTCATTTTTGGATATTAGTAGTAAAAAGATAATTTAATTGGTATAAATTATATTGTTGAATTAAAAGAAGTGTTCTTGATAAACATCCTTCTGCAGACCTCCTCCCTGTGTCCTCTGTCCTTCCTTCACAGGATCCTGTTCACTAACCCCCATATTCAAGTACAGTACTCTTGTTTCCTCCCATTACTGTACAGTATTCATATCTGTCCAAATTCTCACATGCTGTAGGATATTGTGCATCTCAGTTATGTCCACAGCTATCACCATGTCCTAATTAGTTATTCAAACCAAGAACACTTGTGAAACTATATACAATACAATCCTTTTTATACTTTTAGCAATAGATGAGCTTAAATAGCTTTCCAAAACTCTTTTCACTTTTATATCTCGCACACTCTTTCTGACAGACGAAGCAGAATGTGAAAATTCATTACATGTTTCCATATTTAATTTTTTTGCTTTATATTCCAGGGAGCATTGTTCCAGTCCCCTCACACTGATGAAAATGATGTACAGACTATCAGCCACAAATGTGATGTTATTGCACTCTCTGAGTATCGTGTTAAACGTGGGGAACTAGAGAAAAAATATGGTTCCAGCTATGAAAACTGCGATGTTTATTATTTGGCGGGTTCTTACGATCCTACGAGTGGACACATAACTATGGAACCCGGAGTGTCGTGAGAGGTGACGCATTTTGAAGATGGATTTTCTGGTCTGTCAAGTTTCATGATATCAATTCAAGTTCTGTTGTGAAGTGAATATGGAGTGTAAGCTTAGGATACAATATTTTAGAACCAATTCCTCACTCTTTTCTTGAGGATAAATGAGCTTTGTAAAGGTAGTAGTAAAAAGCTTACCTTCTCTGGCCATGGCATTTTTTCATGAAAGATTCAGCCTGGAAATAAAGCCTTAGCATTACCCCCAAGACGCTGCGCAGCATCTCGGGCGTAAGAAGAATAATTGGTAAGGTGTGTGAAGTGAAGAGCTTATGGATTAGGTTTATTAAAAGAATTTATTTTTGTTGAGTCAGTGATAAGCAGTTAAAACACATCAATAGAAGTGGAAGGAAAACAGTGTGCAAAAAATTAAACTTCTATATACAAATGATAGAGTAGCTTGCATTATTGTGTAAGTGTTTAATGATAGACAGTCAATGTCTATAGTAAATACTTTTAAACAGTTACAATGTTTTACTGTGAACAAAAAATGACATATATTTATAAAGTATTTAATATATCATACTTTGAGTGTGAAGTATGGAGTAACCCTTATGCTTAAATGTGTGTGTTAAAACAGTGTGATAACAGTGATAATTGATTTAGAAAAAACAGTCTAGGCCCTCTTTAAGTCTTTGAGTGGAAGACAGTATTGTAGAGTTATTGTCAGGGTGTTTCACGTCCCTGCAGTTATCATTTCAGCTACTAGACAGTGTATTGCTTCTGGACAATCACTTGAGGCTGCAAAATCATATAGGGAGTAAATAACTATGCTTATGTTATTAGTTTTGGAGTGTGAGAGATCAGAGGTGTCCTTCCAACTACCAAAATTTTGCCTTTTTCTCACAACACCTTTTAGATTTTAAGGATTTTTATCATATACATGAGTACCTGCAATATTTTATATAGATATTTTATTGTGTGGATCATAATATCTAAGTACATAGATATATGGTTTGACTATAATTAGAACCACTGCTAGTGTCAAAAGCTTATTTTCTGGTCATGCAATAATGTCTTGCATGACACTATCAGTGATAATGACCAAGGACAAGTGTTTTGTCACATAAGTGTAAGGAGAGTCTTCAAGGTTCTGTACATCTGTCTACTAAACCTTTCTTTGCTTTATTTGAATTGGTTTATATTGCATTTCATTGATTTAATGTTAATTGCATGTTGATTTGATTAAAACGATCATTAAGTGTTATAGATACTTATTGTTATTTAATATCTGTTTAGTTGATATTTGTCGTAAATGAAGAGAAAGACTGATTAAGTTGAATAGATTTTATGGTTGTATGTTTCACTTCATGACTCTTGTGCGGAAGGCTGTCATTAAAGCTCTGATTTGGATGCTGTGTTTCCCCATCAAAAGACATTGACTAATTCTTCAATGTTACTATGGATCTCATATGATATATACACTATATAGTGACTGTAAGAAACTAACAAACATCTTCACATTATCCCATTTTGTGTCCATAAGATACAACTTCTGTGAGAAGAGAAGAGCTAAAACAAATGTTTTGTGGAAGGTTTTGGTCATTTTGTTGAATGAGGTCTGGTGCGATTCTCCGCACACATAAAGAGGCGGGGGTCAAGTGCAGATTGCTCCACACAATAAAGTATTGCTAGTTTGTGTGGTTCATTTGCAAGCTTTACCATATATAATGCGGTATTGCTAGGTGGTGTGGGTTAAGTGCACATTCACCGCACGTGGTAAGGTACTGCTAGGAAGTGTGTTTAAGGTGCAAATTATAAGTATGTTGATTGGAAAGTGGATACCCCAGCCACAATGTCAGGTTAGTTCAACCTTTTAAAGTAACCCAAAGTAAGTGTTGTAGCTCTCATTGTTGAATAACGTGACAGTTGATGCAGTGATCCTGCAGATTTTGTATCAGATTGTAGTTTAGAATGCTAAACTTTCACAAAATGACACAAAGTTACCATATAACATATTAACGTATCTTAACAAGGGACTCAACAAAACAATCTTGTTTTTTATGTTTATACATTACAGAAAATTTCAGATGCTTTCAACCAATGCATTTGTATTAAATATAATTTAGCAAGAAAATTTTCCATATTCAATAATTAATCACAACCAATCACCGGCTGTATTCAGATTGGCAGTATTTCAACAGTAAGGGTTTGACTTGTGTTTGCTTATGGGGAGTGTGAATAAAAACATTAGCTTAGTGAGATACAACTTAGAACAAGTTTGCTGTATTTGCCACATGAAAGTATAATTATAATTTATTGACTGAAAATACTAGTGGTTGATGCCCTTTGCTGTTGTTTATGATTAATGATTATTCATCTCTGGAACTAGACCTGGAGTAAAATATAACTTGTAAAACCACAGCAACGCAGTTGTATTGTTGGTTTTGCATTTTGCTTTAATATTCCCAGTTATTTGTTGTAGAATAACATATTTGAACATTAATATGGCAAGCAGTTATTTTGTTCCTGAATTAGTTAATGGAGAACTTTGAACAAACTTGGTATGACTTACAAAGTGTGCTATGAAGAGTTATATTATGACAGTTATCAGACAACGTAAGGTTTGACGCACGAAGGGCAGTTGTACAGATAGTATTTGTTGCGCATTTCTTGGATGTATCCCGGATAGTCGCAAGTAACCTGTACTGGTATTCTGTCTGTTTATCTGACTATTTTCTTTACTCTACCACTCTTGTGTGGAGTTGATGAAGGGATACAGAAAGAAAGAAGAGAGATAATAAGGGGAGTAATGTACAGTTTGACAAGTGTAGAGAGCAACAGGAAAGGGCAAAGACAACAAGTAGTTATGAAAGGTTGTAAAATATTCCCAGTGTAATTTCTCAACTGATATCAAATGCAGTTACAGTTTAGTAATTCTTTAGTGATGTAATGCATATTGATGTACAATATCCAAGCAACTTAAACACTATCTGCTCTCAACACAGCTCACTTACAAGGTAATTTTTTGTCGACTTACACACTGTATAGCCCATCAGGAAATAGCTAATGTGTGGCATTAACAATTGTAGAATAACTTTTGTGCAGGAGTAACTTTGAGCATTGTGTTGGATTTTGTTTTCTCTTCTTACTCTACAAGCTGGTGCTGGTTGGCCAGAACCAAGAGCAACACAGACTCTCCCTTCATTTTCTGTCATTTGTTCTCTCTTAACTGCTCTAACAGGTGTGTTCTGTTATGGTATTAGTAAATGCATTAAACACAACACTCTATGTCATCTCTCCACAAATATACACTGTGGTTTAAGGAAGGTCGTATTTTGATGTAATTAAACACTGCTCGTTGACAGATGAGGATACAGAAGTCACTCTTAGGTAGACATAATGGTTGAGTACTGGATGTAACTCTGACACAGGAGATTGTTTTGTTTTTCAAGCCTGTTCCAGCTATGATACAAAATAGCTGGAATCAAGAGCAAACATAATGAAATTTGATCGTCACTCTCATAATCTTATATACCTGACATAACTAACTTTGCTATATAAGTAGTTGACATGTGTTAAAGAGCCATGAATAGCAACCTAATCTGATCAAGGATTGTTTATTAGTTTAAATTGTCCAATATTTATGTTGTTTTGAAGTAAGATTTGCTTTACTGTAATTTTTAAAGTCATTGCAAGTATTATCAGTTCTTCAATTTGTGTAAATAATGTGTCCTAATTGAATACCTACCATTTATTGCACAAAATTCCAATAGAAGTTCTATATTTATTGTTATAAGGGCCAATAGATTCCACAAAGTACTATTGCTTTCTAGAATATTTTGTAATAGTGCCAGTGCTCAAGAATGAAGCACAGTTATTTTAGTTTAGTTTGACAGAAAAGTTTTAAATTCAGTTAGTTTGATAATTCTCCAGAACCACATTATTTTAATCTTTTTATTATTATTATTTTTATTATTATTATTATTATTACTACTACATTTTATTATGAGGAAAAGGACATTGTTTCCATCCTTAAGCATCATAACTTCCTCAGAAAATTATTGCCTGCCAAAGCAAGACTTATACTTCCCTCAATATTTGGCTCAGCTCAATTTTTTCTCCAGCAAGCTCTTTTCTGCTACTGTGCATGTAGAGTCAAGAGCAATACAGTCTCTCTCTCTCTCTCTCTATTTCATCCACTGTCGTTCATTCATTCATTCATATTCGTTCATTCATTCTAGCTTCTGTAATACACGTGTTCTGCCATGGTATTCCCCTTCCACAACAAGGCTCCAAGATTTCCATTATTTTTTTATTTATGATATGTATTTAACAGCTAGATTTTCTTTTTTGTGCTTAAGTATCACTGAGGTATGTTATGCTGGTAGTAAGACAGTACCATGTTGTTGTTTTTTCCTCCTATGACTCATAAATAGTAGTTGATTTCTAACGATAATAGATACATTAATGACATCCTCTCTCTAGACCTGTTGATACGACAGCTGACTGTAGAAAATAAAATAACAACGGACAAGAACCATAGATGTATTTGGTCCCCACAAAGTTGTCATACAGATGAGTGACAGTATTTTGGCAGACATTATATGTAGAAGCACAAAATCCTCTCACCACAATATTGGCAATATCATAACTACAGTACAGTACTGGGCCAAAGTTGCTACATTCACTCTACTGTGAATAAGTTTCTAGGTTTAGTCTTGCAATTTCAGAATTGGATTAAAAATCAGAGGATAATACACTTTCACACTCACTCTAGTCCAAAGTTTCCTCCTGTGGAAAATGAAATAAAATTTCAGCATATTAATTATGAAAACTGGTGTGGATTTATTTTATTACATTTTTATTTCATTTATTTTTTAATCTTTTTTTAAATTTCTGTATATTTATGGTCTCTAATGAGTCTCTTATTTAATTACCACACACTTCATTCTCATGACATGATGGTATATCTTTGGGGTTCTTGTCTCAGAGCCTTCAGTTGGTTATTACTACCATTTTTTCCCTTAATATTTTTCCAAATTTTACCGATGTGGCACTTATGTTAATAACATTCCATATATCCCTCTGTCATCTTTCTTGTAATATACCAATAACTTGTACAATATTATTGTGCAAATATAATTAGTGTCCCTCTTTTTCTAACAAAGAAAAGTACCAGAGCTATCAGTAAACTTGCTAACATGGATTATGCAAGAATAGTGTGCATTGCAAGCAGTTCTATAACTGTTACTCACCCATTATTTACTGCAGTCACTTGCAGGAATGTTTCTCGCTTGCTTGTATCATTTCAACTTTCTGACCCTTGCATCCAACCATGTTAAAATGATAACAAGAAGTTGGGAGATATTTCCAACATTTCTCTGCTTCAGCAAATACTTTAGTAAGTTTCTTAGTACAAATAGTTCCTGTTAAACATAGTTCTATAATTGTTATCAGTGCTGATTTAAAAGTAGACTATGCTGTTATCAGGGTAACTTTTGAAGGATGGTTTGAATATAAATGATGGGAATTGAATATGTATTTTTTTATAATTTCAAAGGAGTCAACATTTTAATTTTTCATTATGTATTTATTTTATTTTATTTTTTTGCTTAAATTTCTTAAGAGTACATACTGTATCTGGGTCAGTGATTTGTGGATGCAGTGTTTGCACATATGAACCAGTCGTATATGACGAGAGGTTACATATCTTTTGTTCCATAGAAGGTTTATATTAAATATTATTTTGTTTCTCTTTTTTTTTCAGTAAAGGGTAAAAACTGTATCTGGCTCTGGATTCTCAAAGGTCCAAACATTAAGTTGTCCCCTAACTATTACCCTCATAGTGTAGCCAGGGGTGCTTAAGCCTGACCTATCATATTCCTCAGTGACTATCATAGGTGCAGTCATTAGCTGTCATTGCTACACTTGAGCTCAAACATGACAACCTTATGTTTGATCTTGCAGCAATCCCATCAGTGATTGTGTTAGACACACAGAGGCATATGATGGACAATGCTTAAGCACCCTGAGGTTATCTTTTACGACTACAGTGATATGAGACTGTATCTAACTGGCATATGCAAACCACATTACAAAAATAGTTGGCCAAGATAGCGTCAGAACTACACGTCAGACTCTATGGTAACTAGATACTTTCACTTATCCCCAGTCCTTTGACAGATTTTATGTGGGAGTCTTTGAGAATCCAGGGGCTGGGTTTCTGCTGATGCTCAGAATATGGATGATGATTCTCTAAAGCCATGTTATATGAAGTGTGTAAACTTGTAAATAAAATATATATTTCAAGCATAATATTGTGTTTTATTGTGTATTGTACCTTTCTACATTAGTTTACACATGAATGTTAAAATTTATGGAAAATAACCTAACCTACCAACATTCATAAGTATGGTACAGTACAGTACAGTACAGTACACAGATAATTTACTAGGTAGTAGATATTAGGTAGCTATCAAACAGGGAGGTACTACCGCCTGGGAAGATATTGGAAGCATAATGTGTTGTCAAATGGTAGATCCTACTGCCATATTGCATGACAAAAATTTTGACCAAGTCCCAGGTTGCTGATCTGACTTTCTGCCTTATCTACACACAATTGCAGGGTCTCAATTGTTTCTTTTAATTTGACAACACAACATATATACTGTACTGTATATCATTTCTCACTCTTGATCCATTTCTGTTTTCCCATTTCTGTACTATATTTATGGTTCAAATTATTATTTTTTTGCCCCCAGGCTCTGATGTGAGTCAGTGATCTGTGCCCTGGTGGGCTAATCACCGTAAAAAAAATCATTATTGGTGACTAATTACATTTACACTTTTTATTCCGTATTTGACTCGCAACTGGGCAAGTTAGGTGACAGACTGGGTCAATATAAATAATTAGGACAGCTTACTGATAAAAATGGGGAAATAAGCACTATTTAGAATACCTGGACAGTATTGGAGGAAACTCACTGGAACAGATAATTTTTTTATTCAGACAAGAAAATAATGACAACTGAGGTATGTCGGTGTTTATAGGCTACCTTTAAGCTAAACTGTGCATAGCTCTGACACTCATTATACCTGTATATCAAGGTTAATGATATTTACTCAAGAAGCAAGATTAAAACTGCTATTTTGTCACATCTTGATGCCTTTCCCTACTGTCTGCTATATCAAATTGTTGACAGTAACCGTCTACACTTTCCTCTTCTAGGTTCACAACTGAACTTAACTGTGCTTTAATAAATACTGTAAATCAAATGCAAAAAATAATTGTTTTATTTTAACCTATATACTGTTTCATGGGGGTTATTATATCTATCCCTTCAGTACATCATCTTATGGATGTTGTATTTAATAATACACATTCTTGCTCGGTACTGTACTTGGTATTTTTCATGTAGTTTATAATGCCGGCCTAAACTACCTTGCTTTCTATCACAATGGTTAAATTACTGAACAATTGTGTGAAACACGGCCCGTTACAATGGGTGGTGTGACTGAGGTATGGGTGGTGTGACTGGGGGACAAATGAATGGATAAAGGGACACATCGATTAGGGAAAGGGGATATAAAGGGCTAGATAGGGGCGCCCAAAACCGCGAAGCATCCATCAATGACCATGGAGCCGACTAAAATACTTATTATCTATCTATACATATGTATCCGTCTACCCATCTTTCAATACATATGTATCTGTCTACCTACTTATCTATATTTATATTTCTCATCTATCTATCTTTCTATTACTGAAGAGGGGTAATCTAAAAGGGTAATTACTGCATTATTGTAGTCCGGGAAATAATTCGTCTACAGTATATTTTTAATAGCTGTAATAACACCGAGGAGGATGAGGCTTCTAAGCTTACTTATAACACCCCTCTAAGCAGTCATAACCAAGGAATATTAAAAGGAAGTAGCGACCACCAGAGAACCACTAGGCCAGGGTAACGAGGTGACAACAACCAACTAACTACTGACATCTGAGACTGCTGGTGTTCATTCGTGAAATTTAACGGTGCAACACTTTTTATTGTTACAATAATATACTATGTCTTGTTTACTATGTGCTTAATTTACTATGTAATTGCTTTACTGTAAATAGATAAATTTAGATCGCTGGTGTTCCTGCTGATCGTTTATGGCTTCAGTGTCAGCCGCTAGATGGCGAGGAGGTGGATTTAAAAATGGCGCTTTAAAAGTCGGTCACCACTTTGTTGTTTGTGGGGAAAACAAAGAAAGTAATGGAGTACTACGGTTTCATTTCTCTCGAAAAGAACACCAAAAGGTAAGTTCATAGTTATGTGGTTAAATTATAAACAGTGGCAGTTAAAATGCAGTTTAATTTATCATTTCATCCAGTTTAAAAACCATTCGGGCGGCAGGTCTCTTTAACTCTTCATTTGTTACTCTGTTATGAACTTCATTGTCCAGTGGCATCCATCGAGTAGCTCCCTTCTTTTTATATAGTTGATTTAGTTTAGCTTTATCTCCTCTTTTTAAATGTACAATGAAATATGTAGTAAACCAATAGAAAAATAATAAGAACGCTGTTTGTTTACATTGTACGTGTGGTAAAGTGGTCCGTGTGTCGCTGGTCACCACAGTATGAGGCGAAATTCAAAGTTAAATTGGCTGTAGCTTTTTTACCTATTAATTCCGATAAATTTGTATTGCATATTGTAAGGGCTGTAGCGAGCGGGTAGGTGAGGTGATATTGTTTAAAATACTTGAAAAAACCCAACAAATTTGCGCCTTAAACGCCATCGAAGAAAATTGATTCGTAACTGAAAAAGAATCCTATTGATAATGGTGAAAAAATCCGAAATACCGATTGGTATAAAAAAGAATATTAACCTTAAGAAAAATTACCATAGTGAAATGAGTTAAGTTATGGTCAACATCAAATAATATGAAGGATTGAAGGGTGATGGTGGTACAGCGTTAATGCGTGTATCGCTTATCATGGGCTCGAGTCCTGCTTGGCTCGGACTTGCGTGGGGAGGGTGATCTGACCATTATGGCTTTGGTACGTCACTATGTCAAGTTATATGGAGGAGCTGTACTGATTTATGTAGGGATGGAATTATCCACCATCACTTGTGTTACTCTTTATAAAATGTTGTTTAAATAGCAATAAATTTGTATATAATTAGGGTAATGTGAGCAGAACTGTGTCCTCATTCATGAATGTTGTTTCAGGCAGGATGATCCCTGGCCCAAGACATGACGGGTGACGCCAATGCTTCCTCGACCATCAGGCAAGGTGAGCACTACTTCGGCTGCTTGTATTATGACACCATGGACAAGTGTCTTAATTATTTTTTGGTGCTAATTAAAAACACTGTTAGTATCATGGTTGTTCCTGTTAGTTGACGAATACAATTGTTGGTGAAGGTTGAGGAGAGGGTCACCACATTTTTTTAGGGGGGGAGGGGGGCAGAATATTTTGGACACGTTTGTTGTAAAGCATAGATGTTTATATAATATGAGAGAGAGAAAAGAGGAATGTGAAGTATATACATTTTTCCTTCAGAACTTTATGATGTCATAAAATCTCCCCCTTGAAATATTTCCTTTTTTTTGTAAGAGTTAAGCTGAATGGAAAGATAATCTGATTTTTTTTCTTCAGGTAGGTAAAAGTTTACAGCTCCTCGAGGGACCGTACCACACCACAATACCTCTCACACTCCAGGTATGTCGAAGTCAGTTTTATATATATAGGATACCATTGCGTTGTCCGCGCCCGTGAGTCTTGCGTCTCCGCTGAGTAATAGGCCGTTACCTCCCGTGTTGAAGATCTGGATCTCGTATTCTGTTAAGGTTACTAGGGAAATACTCTTGATCCAGTCATTTTCTAAATAGTGAATTGAGTATGTCATTAACTTAATCAACTTCCGGAACTTTGAATTTCTTAACGCCATTATTACATGATATTTTAAGTAACATTCCATTCCAGCTTCGTGTATCCTCTTAGAACTAGTATGTTGTTCAGTGTTTCTTGTGATTACCAAAGACTGGCAATTCTTGCTTGAATGTCGTGTTTTGTTTTTCAAATGAAATATATCGTGGTAAAATATGGTGCTCCCTGGCAGGCACGAATTGGTTCCCCAATGTTGTCTTGTTCACCAAAGGCTCTTCAGTTTTCAGGCCGTTTCCAAAGACGAACACGTATATTGATTTTTTTATGGAATTTGGAAGCACGTGGCTGCATCCTCTTGTATCTGTTGATTTTATTTTCCGCCTCTGGGCAGAAAACATAAACTTGCTGGTGGAAAGTTATAGTATCGCTCCTGGGATGTTTACATTAAAGAAGTTTTGGGTAGACTCAGTCTCTTGAAGTTCTGAAACACAATTAAAGTTTTTACATACGAACTGAGACATATTCTTTAGCTCGTGTTAGTTTACTACATTTAAGCTTCACACAGCTTAAAGGCATTTCAACATACATTCAAACTTATTCATTATTACTCTTAATTATCATAGGATGATCCCTAATTCACCAACGCAAGGCCATGATTGTTACACTTACTGTATACATCAGTTACGTGGATGAATAAATGATATATGTAAGATGAATTATGTATCTCCGTCAATTATCAAACCAAAAACCTCAAACTGTAAAAGTTGTCCATTGAAATAAGCCATTTTTATTAGTTAGACAACATTAAAGAAAACTTATAATTTATGGGACACTAAAATAAATGTTAAGTTGCAGCTGATCTCTTTTTTTTATCGCCGACAGTTTTAAAACATATTAGACTAAAATTAGATAGTTGTGTACGGTATAATATGTCATACACATGGAGTCACATACATACAAATACAAGCATACACACAAGCACAAATATATACACAAAAATGGTCAAGGCATATACAGGACCGTTCTGTACATACATACGCATATACAGTACACCTAAACACTCAAATGTAAGGATTTATACCCATATTGCGTTGTCTGTGTGTATATCCCCCCCCCCACACTGATGATGACAAAATACCTGAAGAATGCAGCGAGGCATCAACAGCAGGCGGAGTAAGACCGGTCGAGAAAAGTCTTTGTCGTCAAAATATCTAAACAAAACGCTCTGAATTTTCCAATAAGTTTCATCCAAACTCCTCGTAACTATAAGACACGTATACTTATTTCCCAGAAAATATATTATTAACACTAAAGAGTTTTGAATACGAGAGGAAGGGAAGATGCTGAGGAAGGAATTCATTTGCATATCAGTGCCTTAAGTAGGAGCAATGTTTAATTCTAATGATCTTCGGTTACAAGAGAGAGAAAGGTGCTTGCAGTTATGGGTTAAGAACGCAGTTGCTTAATCATGTGTGTACGTTTGTCTAGTAGAAGAATGTTTGCTGGTGCGTGGCGGTAATTTGAAGGTTAGACAAGGTGACTTTGGGGTAGGTAGATTGGTTGGTTGGTTGGGGGACACTGGAGGTCCACTTCAGGCAACAAGTCAACACACTCTCTGGATTGCAGTCTACTTCGTCGTTTCGTAATGGAGTTTATGTACAAACACGTACACACACACACACACACACACACACAGACACACACACACACACACGATGTTCCCTTTACCATGTCAATTTCTGAAAAATTTAGATGTTAAAAATCTCTATCTTCTTATTTATATTTTGGATGAGGAAATCGGCATTAAATACATTATACTTGAAGGTTTGTTAAATGGTGCCTTCTGAAACCCGAAGTTCAAGACTGGCGGATTAGTTAAACCTGTTAAAACTTGAAACGTAAATAAACATAAAAGGTTTTCAAATATCTCTGATGTAAAATAAATGTCGTTTTCTCCCTGTGGCTGAGTCGCTGTCCTGTGTGAGTAATGGGGGCGTTGGTGCGTGTGTATCCTGGGAGGCGCGAGTTTGTGCTAAGGTCATCGAGGTGTTAGGTCACCTCAAACTGGGGAGGAGATCTTTTTTCGCCCCTAGTCAAGGACAGCGAATGACGTCAATACATCCAGTAAACTCCCGAGTCTTGGTACAGAGACAGAGGGGTAAGTCCTGTTCTAATATTCTAAATTAAGGTTTCTCATTCTTTTACGAATCCTCAGTTTATCTTATACTTGAAATATCTCCAGTACAGTACTTCAATTCGTAGCAAGATATACGCGTCTAGTTTAAGGTAGTCACGGTACATTATTGATGCCATTTTGTTCTCTCTTAGTAAAGTGGATTACCCGGTAAACAAGTCGAGTCATAGATACACTCATCCGTCGTGTTTTGTGGATATTTAGTGTACCGTTATGTTTCTACAGCCAGGGGGAAGACTTTATACGGATTAGTCGAGATACAAGAATCACTACTAAGCGAGAAATTTCGAATCAAAATTAAAAACACAAAGAACACTTACAGGCTGCAGGCGCCACAAATCAACACAAACAGAAAGAGTGGACCTGATTTCTCACGTCTATTCTGATATATTTTCTGAATAGAACTGAAGATAATGTCCAAAACTTACTTGTGACAGAGATTTTATTAGGGAGGATGGGAATAAGAACATAAGAATGATGGAAACTGCAGCGGGCCTATTGGCTCATACTGGGCAGTCCCGTTTACACCCAACCCCTATTGCTCATATATGCATCCAACCTATGTTTGAAGCTATCCAGCGTATTCGAGTTAATGATGATATTTGGTAACTTGTTCCATTCATCCACTACTCTGTTTCCAAACCAGTGTTTACCTATTTCGCGCCTAAATCTAAATTTGTCTAATTTAAAACCATTGCTACGAGTTTGCTCCTGGCTGGATAGTTTGAGTATCTTTGTAATGTCCCCTTTGTTTAACCCTGACTTCCATTTATACACCTCTATCAGGTCGCCCCTAACTCTACGTCTCTCGAGGGAGTGCAAATTAAGATGCTTTAACCTGTCTCTATACTCAAGGTTCCTAATGCCAGGGATTAGTCTTGTCATTCTCCTCTCAATTCTTTCCAAGGATTCTATATCCATTCTGTAATACGTGACCAGAACTGAACTGCGTAATCCAGGTGTGATCTCACAAGCGCAAGATACAGTTTTAGGATGACCTCTTACTTTATTAGCCTTGTTACGAGCAAAAACATGCATCTGTTGGTGCGTTATTAAGTGTCACATGCCAACAGTCAATATGGGAGTGATGACAGGCAGTGGGTCCTCTCGCTCGCCTCCTCATCTAGCGTAAAGTAACAAGCCTCATGTAAACGCGCTCATAGGGTTTTTTTAATTATAAAGCGTAATAAGCTGTTGGGGAGAAATATTCTTCAGGTAATACAATTTATCTCTTGAGGATCCGGGTGTTATCCGGGCTGCCACCGACAAACTCCCCGGATACAAAAACTAGACTTAAGCTCGTAAGATGATAAGACTTAGCGGTGAATTATAAGGCTCAGAACCAGGTAGATCTATTACGGGTGCACCTGGCTAGGACTCGGAAACCTGACCTTGAGTTCAGCGGGGAGGTGAAGGACCGAGGGGCCCTTGAGTGAGGTCTTCCCCGCCTTAAGTGAGGATGTGTGACCTCCTATTCTCGTACGTCAAATATTTCTCGTAGTGTGAGTCGCAAGGTCGTATCTCACCTCCTGACCTGAGATACGATAGATAGATTCTTAATAAATCGTAAAGTATATTTTCTCACTAACTATGATACTGTATTCCATCGGCTGATTTAAGTTAGGAACGGAACACGGATTCTTAAAAGCTTGTACGTGTGAATTTTTATCGTAACGACTGTAGATATAGAAGAAGGTATCTAAGTGGAGCTACTGTATAATGATGGATTCCTAAAGGGTTAATTCATCGTACTCAAGGGGTTAAGTCATCGTAGTCAATGGGTTAAATCGTACTCGAGGGGTTAAATGATCATATTCAAGGGGTTAAATCATCGTAGTCAAGGGGTTAAATCATCTCTCGGCCATTGTGATAATTTTATAAACTTTTAGATCAGGATTTACAAAGCTTCTGTACCTTTATATTATCTATTAACTTCTATTAGCTCCTGTAAGTGATAGTTATCTAATTAAGGTAGAGTCTCGGTGTAGGTATAATCACTTCTCAGTTATATTGCTGATTTTAAGTCAATCCGTTATAGATACGTTTTGTACATCTAAATTCACGACTGAGAAGGAAATATTTTGCGACTCCATCTTGGTGTGGTTTGGTGGAGCGTTTACACATACACTTCCAGGTCGATTGTTTGAGGGGATCGAAGGTAAACCATTTGATGCTCATTTTGTCTCTCAATGAATTTTTTTATTTGATTGAGGTGCAAGTTGACGGTGTGTGTGTGTGTGTGTGTGTGTGTGTGTGTGTGTGTGTGTGTGTGTGTGTGTGTGTGTGTGTGTGTGTGTGTGTGTGTGTGTGTGTGTGTGTGTGTGTGTGTGTGTGTGTGTGTGTGTGTGTGTGTGTGTACGAGGTTGTGTATGTACAGTATGTATGTATGTATGTATGTATGTATGTATGTAATCTTGTGAACTTTAATACCAACCCTTAACACCAAATGCTCTTTAGAATTAGCAGATAACAGTTCAATAATAATTACCTCGGTTTAGGTATAAAATTCCCTTTGAACTTAATGATAAATTCTACAATGTCAGGATTGAACTTTCGTGATGTAGAAAAGTTCAAAATATGTTCTAATAATGACATACTTAAGCTACACACGGGAGCTTGTTCATCAGTAAGTGTCAACTATACCCGAAGGGACACAAACACACACACACACACACAAACACACAAGCACACGCGACTTTCAAGAAAAACTCGAAGTTGTTGACATTTGGGGGTGACGAGTGTAGTCTGTTCAACCTTGTGCAGCACCTCGCTCATTATTCAACAAAAACTCGACGCTGGACTAAATATTTCTACTGTGAGAGTAGAGGAGGAGAAGTGTGTGTTTGAGTGTAGGAGTGTGTGTGTGTTTGAGTGTAGGAGTGTGTGTGTTTGTAGGAGTGTAGGAGTGTGTGTGTGTTTGAGTGTAGGAGTGTGTGTGTGTGTTTGTGTGTAGGAGTGTGTGTGTTTGTGTGTAGGAGTGTGTGTGTTTGTGTGTAGGAGTTTGTGTGTTTGTAGGGGGTGTGTGTGTGTTTGAGTGTAGGGTGTGTGTGTGTTTGAGTGTAGGAGTGTGTGTGTGTTTGAGTGTAGGAGTGTGTGTGTTTGTGTGTAGGAGTGTGTGTGTGTGTGTGTGTGTGTGTGTGTGTGTGTGTGTGTGTGTGTGTGTGTGTGTGTGTGTGTGTGTGTGTGTGTGTGTGTGTGTGTGTGTGTGTTTACATACAGTAAGTCTTTTCAAGTAACAATTTTACGGGAGTAAGTTTGATCTCCTCTTACCGGGTCTTATTTCCGTATGCAGATTAGATGTAAATTTATTAGTCAACAGGAGACGAACTTTACCTGTAGTATTTACCTGCGTGATATTTGTGGTCTCTTGTGGTGGATATTTCCTACAGTATCCATCCATCCATCCGTTTGTTCATCGGTTCGTCTATCCATCTATCTATCAATTTCACAAACGCACACACACACACACACACACACACACACACACACACACACACACACACACACACACACACAACATTGTCATCTAACTGCAACTTTTGATAAATTAAGTAAAACACAGACTTGTATTTTGACAAGATTTTATTCCAATATTGTTGTTATTTTAGCGACAGAAGATTGGAAGACTCTGGATAATAACTTGCATTAGCTTATTCTACCTTAACAGATTATGTCGACAACCCACGTAAAGTCAATGTTGAATTTTGACGCCATTTTGACCAAAATCTTTGTGACGTAACACAAAAAGGAATAATTTACATGTTGAGGGTTGTTGAAGTCACCAGTTACAGTATGTGAACAATGAAAGAAATTATTGTTTTGCCAAATTATAAGAGTGAGCTACTGCACGTCACACTACTGCTTGACATCACACTATAGCATGACGTCACACTACTGTATGACGTCACACCACAGCAACAGTAAAGAGCGGCAGAAATCTCGATAATTTAGCCATAGTATCCACGTCCATAGTACTCTGGGCTGTTATAACCGTGACCGTATCCGTACACCTCTGGACTGTTGTAATAATGACCCCCGCGATGACCGTGGAATGATCCCTGCAGGAATGTGCTCGGGCGTCGGCGTCCGTACAGGGGCTCTGGGGCGGCCATGGCGAGGGTCACCGCCAGCAGGAGCACCGCCAGCAGGAGGAAGCGCCAGTTGGGAGTCTGTGATGATAAGTGAGATGATGAGTTAAGGTGTTTATCTCTCTCTCTTGGTGCCTTAAGTATATTATTATTATTAATTATTGTTATTATTATTATTATTGTCTGCACTTAACACTAGCAACAGCCAGTGTTTACACCGGTATCCCACATATGACACCATACAAATAGGACATGTATAGTGTTAGGATGGTTGGTTATACATCAAACTGCAACAAAGATTTTAGTGTTCTATGGAAATTCATATTACTTGAAGGAATGTTTCTCTTAAGATGGTGCCCCCCAGAACCCCGACACCCGCAGCATCGAGCCGGTACATTGTTCATGACAGCTCGGAGGGTGTCTGCTGTGTTGTCATCAATGTACTGCCTAATGTTCGCTTTTAGCTCCCCAAGTTTGCAGGTCTGTGGCAGTAGACTTTACTTTTCAGGTACAGTCTCTCCCAGAGGAAAAAATCAGGTGCCACAAATTAGGGGACAGTGCTGGCCATGTGAGCTGTCACTTTTGTTGCAATTTGATGCATAACCAAACATCCTAACACTATGTATGCCCTATGTGGCACATTCTGGGTGTCAGATATGACAGTGATTCAGGACATAAAAATCTTCAACACAACAACAACAGATAGGAAACACGTCACAATACTCACCATTGTCTCAGATGGTTGTGTGCTGGGAGGTTAACAGCAGAGGATGTGTTCCAAGTGGCGGCTGCACTCTGTTATATACCAACTCAGCCAGCCAATGCCACAACCCTGACCACTTTATGTTGGGTTCGACTTGGAATGCCATGATACACGTGAATGAGAGCCGCCTCTTTGGTGGGCATTAGTCGATCTGAGAACTAAACTAACAGTGTTTATTTATGTCATTTTGCGGTCGTTTGGGCTTAAAAATAAGTTTATTAGAGATAGATTTCTTCTTGGTGTTGGCTTCTCCTGTCGTTAAAAAAATACATCTCGAGAGAGTTGCTGAATCATACACAACTGATTATTTTTTGTGTCCACTAACATGCTCTCCTGTTCCCCCCTTCTCACCCCCTCCAAACTACACCTAACCACCTCTCCCTCTCTCACACACCTCCTAGCCACACCTAGCCACCTCCCCCACTCACCCCCTCGTAACGACCCCTAGTCTCCCCCTTGTTCCCTCGTGTGAGTTTATTATTGCTAATGTTTTTGCTTTAGTGTGATCCTGTTCTCATCTAATGTAGTCTGTAGTAACACACACACACACACACGCGACCCAACTACCCCATGTTCTTGTATGTAAAAGTCATTTTTGTCTAATGTTTATTTTCAGCTTTCAGCCTGCAGAATATTTTCAATAAACTGTTAATTATTATTATTATTATTATTATTATTATTATTATTATTATTATTATTATTATTATTATTATTATTATTATTATTATTATTATTATTATTATTATTATTATTATTAGTCCACACCGGCTTAGGTTAAGGTTGTCCGTCGATGATGATGAGTGGTGAACTAGGGATGTTGTCGGCGGTGCCACTGTGGTGTCCAATACTTGACCCGCAGACTCTGTCACACATTGGACAGTACAGCTCGGTGTTGGGTGGGAGGTCTCTGGTAGTGCGAGTGTCTCTCCTGCACGTCTGGCTCTATTACACTCCTTTTTGAGATCTTTGACGCCTTGGGTACAGGTAGAGCGTCATCGACTAAGGTTGGATGCAATAGTTTCAACATCCTTTGGAGGAATGTTACTTTTGTGAGCGTCATTCTGAACTGGTCTTTGTACCTTTTACACACACACACACACACACACACACACACACACACACACACACAAGAAACTGATCTCCGTCATCTTGTATCGTCAACTTCCCGCAGTAGATTGTAATCCAAATAGCCTGCAAATATTACCTGTACATCTTGACACCTTCGAGTTTCCTTCGCTAATTGAGTAGAAGTTACCTGGAGCTAAGTGGGGCATCTGGTTACCGCCAAGCCTAAACGACCTTGAATTCAACGTCTTAGCTAGTGGTCAACCCGTCAAGGTTTTGCCGAAATGAACAAATTTACTTGTTTTATTGTGTTATTTATTTTGTGTGTTTGTTATTGCTGTTCATATTGTTGTTTGCTATTGTTGTTTCTTGTTTTTATTCTGGTTCTTCTTGTTCTACTTGTTCTTGGTTTTCTTCGTAAATATTACTGTTATTATCACTATTATTATTATTACTACAGTCTGAATACATGGATAGTGAATGTATAAACAACACGATTATTTGTGTAAAAAGATGTTTATTAAATATCGTTTTTCTTCATTATAATACAGGGTTAAAATATTGCTAGCATTCTCCATGAAGTATATTGTAACTCAGGGAAGAATGTGATCATTCTAACCAGGTACCTGATTCTCACAGATTAATTCCTTCTCTCTCAAGTGTTGTAAATAGCGATAACATTTGAGGTTTAATTTGGACCATAATATTTGTGTCGTAATATAAAAATTACTCAGTTATTAAAAATTAATTCATATCACATTAATCTTTGAGAATCAGAACACACGAATTTATGTACATTTATCCTGAAGCCTTGAGCTGTTGCGTGACTTCCTGTTAAAGCAGCAGCAGCAGCAGCAGCAGCAGCAGCAGCAGCAACAGCAGCAGCAGACGTACATTTAACCATAAACCTCAATGCTGGGTACCCCATATACCCCAGGCCCATGGCCGTGCCCATGGCCGTGCCCATGGCCGTGCCCAGGTCCAAAGTACTCGAGACTATAGGCACCATGACCATGTCCACCAGGTCCGAACACCTCCGGGCTGTTGTATAAGTGAGGACCAGGTCTTCCTGGCGGGAACTGTCCCTGGAGGTATTGGTTGGCGTGAGGGTGAGGATGTACCACAGGTGGGTGAGGATGTACCACAGGTGGGTGAGGATGTACTACAGGTGGGTGAGGGTGAGGATATACCACAGGTGGGTGAGGGTGAGGGTAAGGATGTATCACAGGTGGGTGAGGTTTAGGATGTCCCGGTGTTGTCTTCGAGCTGCTCTTAGTTCCCTCGCCCCCCGCTTGGTTGGCGGCTGTGGCGAGGGACACCACCAGCAGGAGCACCGCCAGCAGGATGAAGCGCCAGTTGGGTGCCTGTGATGATGAGAAGTGAGATGATGAGTTAAGATGTTTATCTCTCTCTCTCTCTCTCTCTCTCTCTCTCCCTACTCTACGCTACATAATCCCACAAAATAAGAAATAATGAATCTTTATATTTCAGCTGAGAATTGTTTCTCCCCTCAAACAATTCTATCTATAAGTATGACTAAAAGTCTTCCTCAAGTCTTCTTTACGAGTATACTGTAGTAACAGGAGGACCTTACCATTATCTCAGGAGACGACTGTGTGCACCGGGACAAGAGAGAGAAGGTGTGTTGAGGCTGATCACACGCTGTTATATACGTCCCACAACCTTCCTACACCAGGACAACTTTTTAGTTGGTGAGGAAGCGTGAGTGTCACTTAGTGAAAGTTAATGTCTGCTGTATTGAGGCTGAGAGAACCAAACTTGACGTCTCTTCTTCCTCTCATTACTTGATCGTATTACTTGATGAAACTATATTTGTTGAAGGGATTATTGACCATAGTGGTGTTATGATCTGTATCTAGAGATGAGTTCAACCATTAATAAAACACACGGAAGATAAAACACTTTTCCTTGAGGGTTGGACTGCGCTTTTTTCTTCTTCTTATCATCATCTTGTTTACCTAGTCCCCCCCCCCTCCCTCCACACCAGCCCCTCCTCCCCCCACACCAGCCCCCCCTCCACCCACACCAGCCCACCACCCCCCTCTTTAAGAAGTAACATAAGCCTCCATTAATGTTGTTCTATTTTTCCCCATTGTTCATTGTGTTGTTCAAGGTGCAGGTGTGAACTACCACGAGTAGTGGTAATATTGTTCACAGTCAAGGTATATTAGTGACCAACTCTGATGACTATGCAAGTGTCATGTGTCCCGCCTCTGTGTATAAACGTCTCCTTGGCTTTAATAACAAGTTCTTAATTATATCTTATTAGTTCCTGGCCTATTAACGATATGGTGGGCACACTTGAGATCATCCTCTAGTGCTATTTATTATTAGGTGGAAGCTGTGTACTCTTAACGTGAGTCTCAACTGTTATTTGTTAGTTTAATGTATAATTTTGTCGTTCATTATATAATTTATAATTCATGATTCTTTCAATATTTGTATCTCAAAGTTATACACGGAATGTTCTTATGTGTCTCAACAACTCGTCTTTCATTACTAACTTTAGACAACCTTGGGCATGACAACTTGTTTTATTTGGAACAAATTTCCAATTTTGTGTATGAGTCTAGTTTTTATTTCAATATTTAATTAATTACTTTTATAAAAATCTCAAATTAACTTCCTTCTTGGTTAAACTCTTGGTTAAACCTTTTTCCTTGTTTAGTTTTATACATTTTTTTCGGCAGCCTTCGTAGATTTTTTTTTTAATTATTTCGCAATTTCATTTTACTGTTTGACAAGGTTATGAAAAGCTGAAAAACAAATGAAGTAATGCTGCCTTTTAATTCAAAACTCCATCCGTAATGACCAATAAATTTTTACGTTCAAAATGTTTCGTCAATGCATTATATTTTATGAATTTACACTGTACATTACCACAACTCATCACCCAATTAACACACAGGTAGATGGGTCTATTCATAGGGGCGATAATCCTAAAGCATAGTGCCTATTATTTGAAGGTAATTTGGATTTAAATACACTGCGGGAGGTGGTGTTAGAAAGTTGCCCAGATCATCGCCAAGATTCTGTTCTCAATTCTCAAGGCGTTGTTCTTTGTCTCGTCCGTCTGACTGTCCTCGTTATTGTCTGTTCGTTATGATCTTAAATGATTCGGTAATGATTGTAATGTGTTCGTCTGTATTTTATTATGAGATACAAAGGATGTTAATTAAATAGTATTATAAAATATGTCAAGGCTGTTACCAGACACTACCTCAATATTTATCACCTGGTTAACGATTCGTCACAAGTAGATGACTCAACATTGAATGATATCAGCAGGTACTAGTTTACCAGGAACTAGTAAGATATGATTAAGAACTCGTTATTAAAGTCAAGGAGACGTTTATGCAACACGGCGGGACACATGACACTTGCATAGTCATCAGAGTTGGTCACTAATATACCTTGACTGTGAACAATATTACCACTACTCGTGGTAGTTCACACCTGCACCTTGAACAACACAATGAACAATGGGGAAAAATAGAACAACATTAATGGAGGCTTATGTTACTTCTTAAAGAGGGGGGTGGTGGGCTGGTGTGGGTGGAGGGGGGGCTGGTGTGGGGGGAGGAGGGGCTGGTGTGGAGGGAGGGGGGGGGGACTAGGTAAACAAGATGATGATAAGAAGAAGAAAAAAGCGCAGTCCAACCCTCAAGGAAAAGTGTTTTATCTTCCGTGTGTTTTATTAATGGTTGAACTCATCTCTAGATACAGATCATAACACCACTATGGTCAATAATCCCTTCAACAAATATAGTTTCATCAAGTAATACGATCAAGTAATGAGAGGAAGAAGAGACGTCAAGTTTGGTTCTCTCAGCCTCAATACAGCAGACATTAACTTTCACTAAGTGACACTCACGCTTCCTCACCAACTAAAAAGTTGTCCTGGTGTAGGAAGGTTGTGGGACGTATATAACAGCGTGTGATCAGCCTCAACACACCTTCTCTCTCTTGTCCCGGTGCACACAGTCGTCTCCTGAGATAATGGTAAGGTCCTCCTGTTACTACAGTATACTCGTAAAGAAGACTTGAGGAAGACTTTTAGTCATACTTATAGATAGAATTGTTTGAGGGGAGAAACAATTCTCAGCTGAAATATAAAGATTCATTATTTCTTATTTTGTGGGATTATGTAGCGTAGAGTAGGGAGAGAGAGAGAGAGAGAGAGAGAGAGAGATAAACATCTTAACTCATCATCTCACTTCTCATCATCACAGGCACCCAACTGGCGCTTCATCCTGCTGGCGGTGCTCCTGCTGGTGGTGTCCCTCGCCACAGCCGCCAACCAAGCGGGGGGCGAGGGAACTAAGAGCAGCTCGAAGACAACACCGGGACATCCTAAACCTCACCCTCACCCACCTGTGATACATCCTTACCCTCACCCACCTGTGGTATATCCTCACCCTCACCCACCTGTGGTACATCCTCACCCACCTGTGGTACATCCTCACCCACCTGTGGTACATCCTCACCCTCACGCCAACCAATACCTCCAGGGACAGTTCCCGCCAGGAAGACCTGGTCCTCACTTATACAACAGCCCGGAGGTGTTCGGACCTGGTGGACATGGTCATGGTGCCTATAGTCTCGAGTACTTTGGACCTGGACACGGCCATGGGCCTGGGGTATATGGGGTACCCAGCATTGAGGTTTATGGTTAAATGTACGTCTGCTGCTGCTGTTGTTGCTGCTGCTGCTGCTGCTGCTGCTGCTGCTGCTTTAACAGGAAGTCACGCAACAGCTCAAGGCTTCAGGATAAATGTACATAATTTCGTGTGTTCTGATTCTCAAAGATTAATGTGATATGAATTAATTTTTGATAACTGAGTAATTTTTATATTACGACACAAATATTATGGTCCAAATTAAACCTCAAATGTTATCGCTATTTACAACACTTGAGAGAGAAGGAATTAATCTGTGAGAATCAGGTACCTGGTTAGAATGATCACATTCTTCCCTGAGTTACAATATACTTCATGGAGAATGCTAGCAATATTTTAACCCTGTATTATAATGAAGAAAAACGATATTTAATAAACATCTTTTTACACAAATAATCGTGTTGTTTATACATTCACTATCCATGTATTCAGTCTGTAGTGATACAACAGTATTTTAGGCTCACGGTGAAAGACGACGTCAGGCTTGTGTGTCGTCCTATTGATCCATATCTCTCTCTCTCTCTCTCTCTCTCTCTCTCTCTCTCTCTCTCTCTCTCTCTCTCTCTCTCTCTCTCTCTGGTGACAATGATAACTATCCTCATAAAATTTTGACCTCCCGTAAGTCACCAAAGTTTCATATCAGTAGTTCGTTGCTGGCACTACACTGTTCACTTGTAATCTATTAAAACACAGGTACAGTAAAGCATCCCCGTGTACAGCATTGACTTTAGTTCTAAGCATCCTCGTCGTGTTTATCTCGAACCAATTTAACTTAGCATACACAAAACCTGTGGTAGTCAAGGGTAAAATATTTCTCTTGTGTTGGTTAAATATTTTTATGGTTGTGTCCCGTTTTTATTGAGTTGGCTCTGAAGGTAAAGGTGTTGGATCTGAACTAAACACAACAGATAGAATATATTTTGTATATATTATTATTTGTTCATTGTTGATTTAGTACATAAACTTTGTCTTACGTTAGTGTTAAGTGAGTAAGGTTGTCTCAGTGAATTGGATTACTGGGACACTTTCTAGGTAAAAGTTGCCTTGTCGTTCTGAGTGATAGGTTCAAGGCCTCATAATAATAATGATACTACTACTACTACTACTACTACTACTACTACTACTACTACTACTACTACTACTACTACTACTACTACTTTTTTTTTTTAAATGGCCTCCAGCCTCCCCCAATAGTCACACCTTCGCCACCATTTAATTACCTTAATATTAAATATCCTAATACATAAGTAGCTATCCTATCTGTGTTAAATTAGTTGAGCCGCAGATCTATGCGGCATTCAGTGACAGTAGCCTCATAGTCGATATCTGCAGCAGTTGTCGGAATTGGGGCAGAAGCTCTCGTTCCCCTGAGGCAGAGCAAAGCCGACCGAAGGAGAGAGAAAGACAGTCGACATCTCATCCAGGCTGTAACGAAACTTCTGGGCTGCTGCTTCTGTTCGGAGATCACCTCCGCGTGTCTGGCGTAGAAACATCTTGCACTTGGTCCCATCCCACCAGAGGTTGTGAACACTAGAGGAGTGAAGCTGCCTTGATCAACGTTTTGAATTCTCTCCCCATATGCCCTTCTCTTGTCGTTCTCGTTCCTCCTATGTGCAGCATCGAGAGCTAGGTTTCGGTGACATGCGGCCATGGGATAAAAAATCCTGATGTCGAAGAAAGCTCGCTGTCCCCGCGTCCAGAATCCTCGAGCACTGACCCTCCACACGGGTTTCGTTAGATGTGTTTGAAGTCCTGTGTTGGAAGATCTCACCGTCCAATGGAAGGAGGGTCGGTTCTACCATGACATCCCGGCAGATTTCCTTCAACATATTTCCTGTGAGATCCCTTACCTCGTCATGCCTCATGCATATGAAGCCCCCCTTCTTGCACACCATGGCGTGATCGCCATCATAGGAAGAGCCACACACGCATTGGGAGGGCAAACCTTCTACTGGCCGACCGTACCT